GCACGCGTTAACCAGATATTTTAATTTGAACTCCATTGTTCTTCTCTTCAAACGCGTTCGGTTAATATCGATAACGTGAAGACATCTATTCCCAGCCTCTTGAACCAAAGTGGGACACCAAGAGTCATAAATGGGATATTAAGCAAATTTTGACGGCGACGCAACCTGATTGCGATCTAGATATGACTAGAAAGGCATCGTTACTTTACGAACTTGACTTCAATTGTCGAATCTAATCCGATTCCAGCTCATTTCATACATTTTATTTGGATTCTAAGCGCCCGGAATCTCGGGTATGGAAATCTATTGTTCGGAAGGTCTGCTTTACATCTGGCAAATGCTCGGCTGCATGTTGTTCAGTGCAATATACAACATTAACGGCGTGAATTTTATCTCCCAGGATATTTGATTTCTTTGAGAAAAGGAAAAGACTTTGTCCACAAAAGTTTGTGGGAAGTACAGTTTATACGATGAACCACAGAATAGCATTTTGCATTTGGTGTCAATGACGAAAATCGCGAGAACGGAATTTATTGAAATGGAAGTTCTACTTTGATCAAAAGGATGGAGTGACATACACAATCCTTTGCCAATATTCTATACTTTCTTAATTTGCTCCGTCTGGCCGTCTTGTACTTCTTGTACTTGTGGGGTTCCAGGCGAGCTTGCCTCCAATATCATTTTTCGTTGATCCAATTCCTCAAATATTGCCCAGTCACCGATCTGCTCATCGAAGAATTGATCCATATCCAAACCTTGAATCTCGGCCTCCTCTGTGACCCGCAAGTGCATTCCTGGGATGAATTTCAGGATATAGAGAAGAGCGCAAGATACGAGGAATGAGTACGCTGAAATCGCGGTGATTTCTGCGAACTGTTTACCCACTTGAATCCCATTACCATCGATCCCACCGGGAGCTGAAGTCACTCCGTCGAGCATACTGACTGTTTCGGGGTTAGCTTGGGTATCAGGCTTTCACGGATAAAGATACATACTAGAGGATGTTGCAAATATTCCTGTCAAAAAGCTTCCCACCATTCCACCTATACCATGAAGCTTAAAGACGTCCATTCCTTCATCAATATGTAGCCATTCATTTACATTCTGCAATAGCGCGCAAACCACTGCGGTTATGAAACCAATAACTGCGGCCAGCCAAACGGAAACATATCCCGCAGCAGGAGTGATCCCCACAAGTCCGGCAATGGCACCTTCACAAGCTCCCACGAGACTAAATCGGCCACCATGTTTGACATAATCGACAAGCACCCATCCAAGCATCCCGGTGCATGCAGCAGTATTGGTATTGAATCCAGCAAGCATCGCTCTGACGGAAGCATTTAGAGCACTGCCTCCATTGAATCCAAACCATCCAAACCAAATTAGGACAGTACCTAGGAATACGAGGGTAGTATTATGTGGCCTTCCATGGGACTTTTCGCCGGTGTGCTTGCGCTTTCCCAGTACAAGGGCATATGCCAATGCAGACCACCCAGATGCAATGTGAACCGGCCCGCCACCAGCAAAATCCAATGAAGGGAGCTTTTTTATTGATTAATGAATGTTGTTTACACAAAATCCGCAACTAAGGAGAAACTCACATTATACAACCAACCATTAGAATTCCATGTCCAACAAGCAATAGGACAATAAACAACTGTTGCCCACCAAAACCCGAATACCAAACTCGGTATAATTCTTCCTCTCTCGAAAGCACCACCAACCACAATCTGCACTGTACAGGCACAGAAAAGCAATTGATACAAACAAAACACAATTTCCGGAATCACAGCACTACCTGGTGACGGAGCAGCCATCACATTCTTGAGTCCAAAGTTCGCCATGTTGCCAATGAAAGGTCCAGCTGTACGCGAATATGCAAGTGAGTATCCCCAGAACATCCATTGAAAAGTCGTCACTGCCGCTACGAGAAGCGATTGAAATAACAAGGTAAGAGCGGATTTTCTCCGTGCGAGTCCACTGTAGAGGAGTCCGATACCGGGAATGATAAGCCAGACGATGAAGCCGCAGAAAACTATATATGTGTAGTGGAATTCGAAACCGGAGTATTGGGCGTTGACGTCTACGAGTTCGGGGTCACCGCCATCGGGAATGGAGGAGTTAAAGACGGGGGCACTCATGGTGCTGGGTGGGTGTGATCAATGTTAGATTGAGTATGAAGAAGCTCCGCTCCTGGTAAATATGTTTAGGAATCGAGACTTCATATATGAAGGGTGAGGATTCCCCAAGTATTAAGTACCCCATCCCATCTTTCACATCCCTCTAAATCCCATTCCAAGAACCCAAACTTCGTCCAAGACCCTCACTCCCTTATCATCCATCCAACAAACCACCTCCTCGGAAACCTATAGAAAACCTCGCATGAGCGGTAACTTTCTTGGCATTTTCTCCATCCCTCTTTTATCTCACCTCACCCAACCATAATAAATGTTATTCTCGTTATTCTAGATCGCCGACACTACATTCTTCCTATGCTTTACGAAATTTTGATAATGATAAGCTCGGGGGTGGATGTCAGGGGTGCTGATAAGACGCTTGGCGGTCAGACGTGGGGAAATTTTTGCTGGTTTGAGGATGTAGGTGGGCCTGAGTTAGAGCTGTGATGGAAGTCTATATCTTTCAGATTGAATATACATATATATATCAGTAACTTCGGGGAGTGATATTGTTTTGGTTTTTGAGCCGGTAAAGATGATGGTATGCTTATGTAGTGTCATTAGCCATTGACCGAAATGCCAAAACGAATGGTGAGCCAATTATCGCTTGTACTTCCTTCAAGAATGTTAATATGATAGAAATTATGGCTCCGGTTTCATGTGATGATCAAATGCTTTCTATACAACATAGAGGCAATGACAAATCGCCTCATTCGTTCGCGACATGCGATGGATAATTCCCGTTAAATAGATAAGTATCAAATAAGAATGGTTATCTCAAATAACAAATTTGTCATATATTTCTAGGCGACGGCCCATTTAAAGAAAAAGCATTGGTATCATATCAAATCCGCAGACTGCCCAAACCCTTAACCGAAAGAGATATTTCTCATCTCAAAGGCCCATGCTGACCCTCCCCCGCATTCTTGACTCCCTTCGCTACACGTGCAGCTCCACCTTCAATGCCCTCTCCTATATCTTTAATCCCATCGCCTACGGGTTTACCTAATACATATTTGTTAGCCTATGTTAGACTTTCTCTCCTGATCTCCTTATAATGTCTTTATTTCGGTTCCCCGTATTCGGAAGAATGGGAGAGGAGACTAAGAAGCATGAAAACAAGAGAAGAACTTGTGAATTGCGAGGAAAAGCAAAAGGATGACAAACCTGCATTTCCGGTAACTCCATTTACAGTTTCTCCCAATCCTCGTCCAACAGCTCCAACTACACCCCCTACTGTGTTTGTGACGCCTGAGACACCATTGCTGTTGAGTTGTGTTAGTCTAGATTCCGTTCCATGGGCGAGACGTTTTGAAGCATTGGGTCTATAAATGAGGGTATGACTTGGAAGAGCAGAAAATCCAAATGTGATGTGAGTGCGAGAGAGAAGAGAGGAATGAATGGGAGAAAGGTGGGAAGAAGGAAATAAACAACGTACCCAACAGTACTTGTAACCCAGGTAACACCACCCGAAACTCCTGATTTATCGTTGATAGGCATATTGTTTCCTTGTCTGCTGATTTATTTTGTTGGTGATTAAATAGACTGTTTGATTTAAGATTGTAGCTCTCGATACTAAAAGAGATTGATCTCCGCTCTCTGGATGCACATGCATTTATATACACATGCAGAGACGACAGAAATGATGAATCTAAGATCTGACGTCACAATATCGCAGGGGTCAAAACCAGATCTTCGGTTCCAGACAGGGATTTGGTTGGCCTCGTAAAGGTCATCAGGAACCATAGCCACGCTGGTGGTTTGGTTTGGTATGTTGTCAGATCTGGCCAATGAGATGATACGTGTAGAATGGAAGGATGAAGGTTCGAAGAAACTCGGCTAATAGATTTGCGGAATATGTATCTACCTACCCACCTATACTAGACAAGACTCCGAATTTGCTTGGTATCATAAAGCTATAAATTTGAAGACAACAACCCAGACCTCCAAAACTCTACAGTCTAGACTCCTGTCCTATGGAGAGATGAATTCTCAAAGTTCTTGTAACACCACGGCTGATCGTCACAACTTGCCTCTTTGTTATTCCTTGCATCATCTAGACATCGAGGCTCTGCTGTTGATGCCGGCCACTTTTTACCAGGAAAAAAAAAAAAAGCATGTTTCCATTGGGTTGATCTCCCAGAGCTTTGCAATCTACTTTTCTAGGACTGCACTGGCATATCCCTTGGATCGACCATTGTCTGGAAATCCTCCTTCCGCTAGTCGTGGAGGATGTTTATTTACCACATATGTCAGTTCACACCTCGCGGATCGTTTGACAAGTCTCTAGTGACAGCCCTCAATCCTGTGTTTGCTTCTTCAACAATGCAAAATGTTCAGTCTTAGACTTCTTGAGTAGACTGAAGATCTCGAAGACTACGCAGCGAGCCTGGACCTAAAAGCATATTGCTCTTTGAGGAAATATGGATATTTAACCTTCAATTTGCACTGATTTTTGAAGAAGATGACCTGACAAAGCGATCAAATGCTCGAAGCTAGAAATACCGATAATTACCCGACATCAGCCATGACACCAAGCAACGCTGAAGGTCAACGTATAACATCTCATTGACCCTTGTAATCTCTTATCGATGCTATCAATAAGGCCAGCTTGGTATCTTTTTCAATGTTCTTTGTAAATCTAACACAATACATAGAAATTAACGTTCCTTTGTATTGAGCAATACGTTGATTTGTTTTGCAATTCTATTCTTACCAGATATTCCCCGTCTACATACGCATGGTTTCTTGTAGTTTATATATTTCAATTCGTGTAGAGAAAATATCTATCTAGCTCCTTGTGAGCGCATATCTGGCGCAAAGATGTGGCTACCTTTTACCTTTTTATTCTTGTGCATACTGCAATTGGCAGCTTGCGCAGAAGACTTTTACCAAGTATGTTCTTTTTCTGCAGCTTCTAGAAGCTGTGCAAGTTTGGGGATTCAAAGGCTAGAACAAATGCTAATTGTGTAATAGCTTCTTGGTATAGACAAGCAAGCTTCAGAAAGAGATATCAAGCGCGCATATAGGACTTTGAGCAAGAAGTATCACCCGGATAAGAACCCGTATGTGTCACCTCTCGATTTAAGCTAGAATCACTACTGATGTGATACGCAGAGGAGACGAAACAGCCAAACAAAAGTTTGTTGAAATCGCCGAAGCTTACGAAGCCCTCTCCGTCCCAGAAACCCGCAAAATATACGATCAATATGGACACGAAGGACTAAAACAAAGACAACAAGGAGGACAAGGCGGAGGTCACCACGATCCATTTGATCTTTTCTCCAGATTCTTCGGTGGAGGAGGACATTTCGGCGGCGGCCATGGACAACGAAAAGGACCCGATATGGAAGTGCGAGTAGGAATACCCCTTCGCGATTTCTACAACGGACATACCACCGAATTTCAACTCGAGAAACAAATGATATGTGAGGAATGTGAAGGATCAGGATCTGCCGACGGTCAAGTCGATACATGTAATGTATGCCACGGCCATGGAGTCCAATTAAAGAAGCATCAACTCGCGCCTGGAATTTTCCAACAAGTACAGGTAAAATGTGATCACTGTGACGGCAAAGGACAAACGATCAAACACAAATGTCCCGTCTGTTCCGGTTCTCGCGTCATCCGTAAAGTCCAGACGCACTCACTAGTCATCGAGCGCGGAGCCCCCAAGGGCCGAACAATAAACTATGAAAACGAAGCCGACGAATCTCCCGACTGGGTTGCTGGTGATCTCCACGTTACTTTAGTTGAGAAGGAAGCGAATCTCGAAGAAGACAACGAATTAAAGGTTGACGGGACATTCTTCCGTCGTAAGGGCGATGATCTTCATTGGCGCGAAATGCTCTCATTGAGAGAAGCATGGATGGGATCATGGACACGAAATCTTACACACTTAGACGGGCACATCGTGCAACTGTCTCGCGAAAGAGGACAAACTGTTCAACCAGGTCATGTGGAACATGTGAAAGGAGAAGGAATGCCAAAATGGCATGAGGATGGAGATAGTGTTTATCATGATACGCAATTCGGAGATTTGGTTGTAGAGTACACAGTCGTATTGCCGGATCAAATGGATAAGGGAATGGAGAAGGATTTCTGGGCTCTATGGGAAAAGTGGAGGAAGAAGAATGGAGTCGATTTGGCAAAAGACAGTGGAAGGCCCGAGACTCCAGTTGCGGGAGGAAAGGATGAACTATGATACATATATGTATGAACGGGGAAGAGAACAGGGAGTCGGAATTGGAGTTGGAGGAGTCCAGGTGGCCATCAAACAAACGTTTCGGGAGTGGAAACTGAGCGAGTGATGCAATGGGAATGGAATTATGTATGAATAGCCCAGCGATAAAGAAGCGAAATTTAGAAGTTCTTTTTGATGTTATATCATTCGTTATCTTTTGATCATCACATCGCATTACATCACATCATTTCAATGATGAGAAGAAGGAGCGGAAAGTTTATACATAAATCAAATATGCGCTCTCATAGATTCATATTAAGAGGAGACCTACACACAAAATAGAAGTACATGACAACAATCAAGGAAAGTTTAACGAAACAATTTATCATTCCATCATAATGTACGGTGACGGACATGCAGCCAACCTGACTATCTGCCTGTTTGTTTGTCGACCAAGAGTAGGGAATGACTTCAAGGAAAAAAGATACAGAAAAGATAGCGAAGAAGCAAGGGGGAAAAGAAGGAAAAAGGGGTATCGTTCATATCCGATCTCGTCATATCCAGTCCCATCGTCTCATTATTACTTCCTCCCATTTCCCATTTCACAAGTCCGACGATATCCCAGTTCTCTTAAAATTGATAACCACGAGGAAATCGCATCAAAACTCAGAGCAGAGCTAAGCGCGCAGAAATTAGATGCGCGATGGATCGGCACGCGATCGATACCACCTCTTGCGTGCACCGCCGAGACCATTGCTTTGTTGACCATTGGCCGGTTGGTCGGTGACGATTGTGTGGCGGTTGCGGTGGTGGATGTATGTCCCCTTTTTGATGATGTGTTAGTAATGGGTTGGAGGGTTAGAGATAGATTCAGGGAGTGTGTGGCTAGGATTGTTGAATGAGGGGGGTAGAGCGAGGGAAGGGAAAATTACGTGGAGAAGAGAGAGGAGAGAACTTACGAGGAGAAAAGAACCGAGGAAGAACAATGAAGCTAGGAATGTAAAAGCGACATCCGATTTCCATCTCGCACAAGCGGAGGAACCGAAGATGCCATACCAGTTAAATATACTGCCGCAGTCGAGGGGTGTGATGAACTACATTTATCCGTTGTGATTAGTCAAGTGCAGCTATATTACGCATTTTCTGTCGTCGTGGGGAATGAGATTGGGAAGTGGGAAGGAATTAAGAAGAAGGTCGAAAGAAGGGAAGATATAACATACATCCACAAGTAAACCAAAAGCAATCATATACATAACAAACATCAAAAAGTCGATCGGCCAATGAATGAAGTTCCAAGTGAACGGCAACATGAAGAATAAGGAGAAGAATAGACCTAAAGCAGCAACGACATCGGTGTAGATGAATCGTTTCTTAGACCATGATGGTTCGGCTCTGGCTGAGTGAAGATGTGAACTAGTAAGACCGACGACGATGGTACTGAAAGCAAATTGGCACACGCGAAGAACCAAGGCTAAAATATCGGTCCCGTGCATTTTTGCAATGTTTAGGGCTCTTTTCTTCGCTTTTGTGTATGTATTGATAGTTGAGTTAAGTTATCGTGAGTAAAAGCCGCTTGACTGTGGGATTGAAGAAGGAGAAAGGAAGTGAGGGGATGATATAATGTCTAGATTTATATCTCCGCACACATCACACCACATCGGCAGCCAGAAGCAAAGAAAACCAGGTCAACTCACTCGTAACATGCAGCCGACCGAGACGCATTTACGCCATAGCCATGTTTATGCCCAATCCCATCTCTATTTTCAAGGATTCCCTTGAAGCCCGGATTAAGTTCTCCGCCCAGTATGTCACTGTTCTATGCCCTGGAACTTGGGAGCTCTTGTGCGAACGCAGGAGTAGCAGATACATATTTGAAATCAAGGAACTAGAGATTTCATGGCCATAGATGGAGTACTGATCCATTAGCAGCAGTATTTGAAGTACCGAAACAGCAGACATGGGTATCTGCGGGGAATTTTCCTGGATATACGGTTGTGGCGTCTTAAAAAAGGTACATGAGATAAAACGGGACGGGTTCTTTGCTCCGGATGCTAATTTATGTGATTGCCATGTAGGAAATTGAAATAAGGTATAGTTGACAACGCACGATGATCAGTGTGTATGCCAGAAAGACTTATTCGCTGTTTGGATACATTGGTAGCTCCGTAAGCCAAGAAATATTCTCAAAATGTATTGGTGATGACTGTCAAACCACATTCGGTTCAAATCTGGAAATTTGATAGCGAGGAAAATACCCCATAAGTTATGTAGAATTCGAACAATAGTAGAGAAGATGAGGTGCGATGTAAAAGAAAAGGAAAATTTAGCTACCAAGCACGCGATGAGCTCGATACATCGTGTGCCAAATCTATCGATCTTTGAACCCAACGACTAAATGATCCCTCAGGTCACAAAAATCTATTTAATTCCTCAAAATTGCATTTTCAATATGGCAGAAAGTTCTTGGGAAGTTAGCAGTATTGCATGATCGTGGTTAATCTCGTCCAGTAGAACGAGTTTGCTTGACGCGTGGCTGCAGTTGTGGCTGATGATTGCCGAAAATTGCTTTCTTGTGCAAACGTATATTGACTGATTGCTAGTGTGCATAATAATCCATCCTTGAAAAATGCGGAAGGTTCAATGAATATGAAGATATGTGGCGCATTGGATGTCTTTGTTCTTCGATCAAATGCGCCAGGCGAAGTGGATTGAATAGTTGAGACTCTTTCAGTGGATATTGATGACGAGAAGTTACCAAATTATCGTTTGTCTGTTGAGGAGAGTTCCGACGAAGCGTATGTATAGACTCAAAGCTTCACACTTTCTTGGGTATTGTAATGTCAGTTCTGTCGTGGAAATAAATGTGTGGTCGACACCCACTCCTGGTCCATTCACCGTTCTCGCTTCTGATGAATCAGCGGCTTGCAGCAACCTATACCACATAAACAGTCTTGAATAGGAACGCTAATTTAACCAAAGTCTTCCAAGGTTGTCTCTTCTATTTGTATGTCAATTCACGATGGGTGCTACAGGAAACTTCAAAATTACAATTCCGATTTCCGAGGATTCGGAAATTCCTTCAACCGAAGAAACCCAACTGATTCCTGCATCATGTGCGCAGTTTCCAGGATCCTTCGCTCCGGATTTAAGAAAAGATAAACGAAGAGTATCAAAACGTAGCGGATTCAGTGATCGGATTTATATATTCTTCACGGATGGATGGGATGATGTAACGGTTTGGAAAAGTGCTGTATGTCGCTCCTATGAACCTTTCCTTGACCTACCACTGAGTCTCCTTTTCCATAGTTTATAGAATTCGTGGGAACAACATGTCTATGCTACCTGTCTGCTTTTATCAGTATTGCAATTCGAAATTCTGACACTACACAAATAGCGGCGTATGTTGGCGTTACCAATATTTTTCTTTTGACACTATTCATATGTGCGCTCGCTCCAGCTTCTGGTGGTCATATGAATCCAATCATCACTTTTGCGACGGTAATCACTGGACTTACCGGATTTCCAAGAGGAATGTTGTATATGATAGGACAGACCACCGGAGCAGCACTTGCGGGTGGCTTGATCAGAGGAAGCTTAGGAGATCAGAGAACTTTAATGTAAGTTGACTCCGATTATCTGGATTCGAGACACAAGACACCAAGTAGTGATGGACTTGCAAAGGGTTGTCAAGGTCAAGAAGCTCTTCTATGAAAAGGTGCGTTTAGTAGTAAGTTAACAGGTGAAAGTTACAATGGAGGAGGATGTTTCCTTGAAACAACAAGCGTTAGCGAAGGGCAGGCTTACCTGATCGAGTCAATTTTGTCATGTATCATGCTGTAAGTCTCAGAATCTTCTTGTCTCGCCTTGATCTGACGACATAGGATTTTATCGTTTGGTACTGCTCTTGATCCCCGACAGGCGCAACTCTTTGGGCCACGCCTAGGCCCATTCATGGTTGGCTGTACATTAGGCCTTGTGTCATTTTCTAGTGTTAATCTTGCACCTGGATACCCGGGAGCGGGATTGAATCCAGCGAGATGCTTTGCCTTTGCAGTTGCGAGAGGCAACTTTGCTTGTGAGTGGAGCTTCTTCTCCCTAAGCTTAAATCGCTGCTAATAGAAACTTCAAGATCAATGGATTTGGTGGTTCGGTCCGGTCACTGGAGCTATAATTCAAAGCTCGGTCTATCATTTTGCCCCACCATATCATAGAGAAAGGGTAGATAGAAGGCATTCAACATGATGTACAAAGAATCCGAGAATATCTTCTTCGATACACAGTATTCGGGTTATGAATTGTGGACTATCGCCGAGAGCAAAGACTTGTGTAGAAAAGGTATGACCAGGACAAACAATGGTGCCAATGGGGAAGATCTCCCGAAAGCCAAATGTGGGATCTCATATTTTAGATGAGGAAATTGTAGAATGTATCGAGACAAAAGTTCAAAACTTCAAAACTTCAAAACTTGAAGCCTGGATCGAACCTTCGCATGACCGATCAAAGTGACCTACTTTGAAAGTTGATTGATGAAGTCTCCTCCAGGAATCAGAAATAGAACTCAAACAAGCAAACTCGTGAAAGGGTGGGTGTGAAGAACGAGTACTCATAGAATGGCAATGCTTGAAGGAACAAGAAATGATTCGAACGAAAAACTTTTGGGGAGGTCAAAATCTTCCAAATTTGGCCGAACATCGAGGACGATGATAATGAGACGATCATATTCAAATTATTCAAATGATACCAGAGTTTAAGAACACAAGTTTGATACTTTGCAGAAGTATGAAAATAGAAGTTGAATTACACTAATGACCTCGGGAGGGGAAGCAATATTTAACATATCCCACTCATACCGAAATATACTCGCGTCATGCTCAAATCTACCACCAAATTTATCGGCCAATTAAACAATGGACGATACCAATACGGCGACCATCCGAGAACTAAAATCAATCAACATCATAGATAAATATCTCCTCAAGTAACAATTCGCCATTGCGCCACATCACCGCGACAATGGCCTCCAAAATAACACCCTTCGTTTTCCGATCAGCATTCAGACCAGCAAGAATAGCTTCAAGATCACAATGTCGGTCATTTGTTGCCGGTAGCAGATTATCCAGCGATTCCCTCATGGTTGTATGTCTTCCTCATGGAGCTCCGATCATACCGTCTAGCTACTGACATGAAGTCTCACAGCATCGCGATACACCCGACAATAATGCCTCTATTCCTTTTAAATTCACACCTCAAAATGAGAAGATCATCGAAGAGATTCTCAAGAAATACCCCCCGCAATACAAAAAGGCAGCCGTTATGCCGATTCTCGATCTTGGACAACGTCAACATGGATTTACCAGTTTGAGTGTTATGAACGAAGTTGCTAGACTATTGGAAATGCCTCCTATGAGAGTTTATGAAGTGGCTACCTTTTATACCATGTATAACAGAACTCCAGTGGGCAAATTCCATGTGCAAGCTTGTACTACGGTATGTTTTCTCTAAGTTGGCGGAGGAATTTCGCCTTCTTAACAAGTACTAATGTGATTCTCCGATAAATAGACTCCTTGTCAATTGGGTGGTTGTGGAAGTGATGCAATCGTCAAGGCAATCGAAGGGCACCTTGGTATCAAGCCTGGCCACACCACAAAGGACGGATTATTTACCTTTGTCGAAGTCGAATGTCTGGGCGCATGTGTAAATGCCCCAATGGTTCAAATCAACGACGATTTCTACGAAGATTTGACACCCGAGTCAACCGTCACATTACTCAAGGCACTTCAATCCAGCGCCTCGGAAATTGCCAATTCGGAAGCTGGAAAAGGTGCCATTACAGGCGAAGATGGCAATGTCAAGTCTGGATCTGAAGTTGGAGAGGACGCAGGAAGAATTTATAATAAGGGAGGTGTTAAGGTACCAAGTCCAGGACCAATGAGTGGAAGGAAGACTTGTGAGAATATCAAGGGTTTGACGAATTTGACGAGTGAGCCATGGAGTAAGGAGGTTTTCAAGCCAGAATGGCAATAGGTTTTTGCACTTTGGGCATTTGTGGTGGAGCGTGGGTTGAAAATAGAGGATATAGTTTTCAGATGAGGATTCGTATGTATATATCCTTGTATCATCAAATTTTTGCATTGATATGGTTTTCCATGATCGCTAGTGATGAAAGATGAATTTCTAAAAATTCTTATATTTATCCCAAGACACTTAACATAATTCTCACGAAAAAGTTGATTGACTTCCTTCACCCCTCAGTCTAAGAATTTCCATCTTGTAGTCCCAGGCCTTTCTTTATCTCTCCAATCGCATGCCCTCGTTCCCTCCGACAACCCTGCTTTTTTCGATTTCTGGTGATCAGTCTTACTTCTTTTCCTCCCACTTCTATAACTCCTACTTCTGGCATAGTCTCTCTTGCTATGTATCCCTACAAGGTTTTCAATCGCCCGAATAACCATGCATGATAAATCTCAATACATTGTTACAACATAGAAGAGTATATTGTGAAGATTAAAATAAGAGTGATGGGCATGTATGAGATGGGGTAGCTGTTGAGTGGGTTGTCTGGAGAGGAATGGTGATATCATGAATTTGTAGAGTAGGTAGTTAGTATTGTATGTTTTGGTGGTAATATCGAGATTTATTTGTCACCTGAGTAATATTGGAGGTTCGTGGCTTGGTAGCAAGTCCACATCTGATTTATGGCTAGCCTTTACACAATGCATTTCATACCACGTAGGCCAGCGAAACGACGTTGCACTCCCAAGGCCAGTAAAGTAGAGGCGGGTAGGAGAGCCAAGGGTAGAACGAAAGGGTTGAGAGCGCGAAGATTCAGAACTCGAGAGAAAATTTAGTAGAAATGTGACGAGAACATGAAACGGAAAAGAGAGTGTTTGATGATTGGGAAAGTATCAGAGCCGAATGAAGGCTTCGAAGGGTAGGCACTGAGGAGTGAATGGACGACGAAAAGTTGGAGAAAATCTGACTGGAATATAAAAATCAAAAATACAAGATTAGCACTTAAAATGATACTGACAGTAAAAATGAAACGAGTACTTGGCAATTGAAACTTCGTTCCGAGAATGATATCGCCGTGGGCATGCTCGACTGTATCAGACATGGTGCATATTTCACACTTAAATGAATGAATACTTCAGACGACCAGATGTGCATGGTACTTACGAATCTCTTGCACTAAATATTTGACACGTTCCATATTAGAACTCGCTGGAGTATTGTCTGACACGTCACTATAATCTCCAGTATCAACCTAGCTGACATATCCTACAGATATCTAGAAATCCCTCATAGATTACTAACAATTCCAATTCCATAGGATTCCATACCATCAGTAATTCCACAAATGATAACCAACGGATCGATATGGGGTGTAGCAAGCGGATAGAGCCACGGACACCCAGCACTTCTGACACATTGTTGCTCTCTCCACCGATGGGAGCACTTTGTGAAATTTGCGTAGAAATCCATGAAACGACGATGAAGATATTTCAGAAATCAAGAGGCTCCAAACTTGATAGTATACCACAGTAACAATATGAAACATGCAGTATAATCACTTTGAATCAAAAAAACGATTCGAAGATCCATCAGAAGTCCCCTAGGGAAGTGATAACCTCGTAGCTCTGTGCTGAACGCTTGTTCTGAACTACAGAAACATGGTGGAACCGAAACCTCCAAAAACACATTCTCAGATATATCAAGATTCTTATATTGGGTCCGATGATACTTCATAACACCTTCCGGGACATGATCGAACATCAATGAATGTGTCGTCTGTGAGATGTTTGGATATAAAAACAAAGTTGGATGTCGTTGTCAAAGGGGTGGATTTATGAAGGTGGGACTATCACATCGGACCTACAGTATTAGGGCACAGCTGTTTGCCGAACACCAAAATCACACCAAAACTCATATACATTATCTATTTACTTTCTAATAACACTATAGATTTTATTTATTAAATTTTATACAGTTCTATTCATTTTCAATTAAAATTTAATAAAAATTAAACAGTTTATTTTTAGGATTTTTATTTATTAAGATATTTATATAGAAAATTAGTACAAATTGGAATACTTAAATTTATTAGTAAAACAAGCGAAAATCAAGAACTTTTCTTTTGATTTAGATTAAACCTTATAAAAAATAATATCCGTATATTTTAAAATCAAAAGAATTATTAATTCTAGTTATTTTATTATATTATAAAACTATATTTAAAGTTCTAACTAATTTTAATGATTTTGGATATTTTCTTTTTATTTATATAAATAGAGCAAAATGCTCATTTGTGGTGTGATTTTTGAAACCAACAAACAGCTGTGCACGGTTACTGTAGACACCTCGACTGACCAATCAAGCATCCACTCTCTGATATCACCCATCCTTCATCTGCACTTTTCCCACCTACCCCATGAAGCTGACGAGTATTTGGGCAATATAAAAAAGCTGGATTTCCCGCCCACCAATTTCCTCGTATTTTTGCTCATAAATTCTGCGTTACCCCACTTCCCTTTCTCTATTTTCCCGCTCACGATGAATACCAAGGAATATATCATAGATGTGCTTCAACACCTTTACTTTCCTGTTCAGTTCATGTTTGCCTCTGCTACATTTATACCCGGCACCATTGTTTCCCTTCTCGCCTCTTCCAATATCGCCACTTTAAGTTCCGTCGACAAGTTCAAAGATGCATGGTTTGCACGGTTCTGGGCCGTTTATGGACCTCGTGTTAGAGAGACTGCAAGTACAAATGCAGAGCCTATGATTAAAGCTGCTAGAGGTGTTATACTAGACATTGGTCCTGGTAGTGGTGAGGTATGTTTGTCTAATATCTTGATATTGATCAAAGTAAGGCGGAGGTAAAAGTGTCAGTGGCTAATAGATGCTAGTGGTTACATGTTTTTGATAAATCAAAGATCACAAAGATTTATGGTGTAGAACCAAATCGTGATCATTATGAAGCTTTGAGAAGGAGAATTAAGGAGGCAGGTCTCACTGATATCTATGAGATTGCAGAATGTGGAGTTGAGGGGTTGACGGAATGGGGCATTGAAGATGACAGTGTGGATTCTGTCGTCACCATTTTGTGTTTATGTAGTGTTGGACAACCCGAGGAAATGATTAAGGATTTGTATAAGAAGTTGAGAAAAGGGGGTATCTGGGCAGTTTATGAACATGTGATTAAGGATCAGGGACATTGGACTGACAAGTATCAATGTAAGTTCTAATCTACGGGGAATGAGCGTAGCAAAACTAATTCGTACTCAGCTTTGATCAATGTCGCTTGGCCTCATCTCTTTGGCGGTTGTTCCCTCAAGAGGGATACGGAGAAGTCTTTGAGGGGAGTTGGAAAATGGAGTAAGGTTGATTTGACGCATCCTGCTACAGAGGTTCCTTATGCTATCATTCCACATATTATGGGAACGCTGGAGAAGTGATTGCCATGCTTTCAAGTATACTCTACGAGGTAGCCCCTGTGAGGATTGAAATCTATGGCCATCTTCTTTAGAGGATGTAAACGAGAAATGTATGCTATCTTATGAGGAAGATTGTGGCGAGTAAGAAGAATGTGGAGTCACTGCGTAGTTTATCAGGCGAGGTTGCAAAGCTTCTATTGAGAGAAGAAGAATTGATTCATTGTGTTGGATGTCTAAGCCTTTTTTGAGAGCTCCTTTTCATTTTTTTTCAACACTTCTTCAAACGCAGTGGAGCAGTCGATCTTTCATGGAGATATCAAGAACGACCACAGCAATCACAATCATCGAAACTCAAAAAGCAGCCCGTCCTGCTGCTGTTGAGTTAGTTTTTGGCTCTAAACACAGAGTTGAGAGTTATGAAGTTTTTGGTTGGACTGCAATGCCGAAATCTTGAATATCTCATTTGCGCATCCGAATTGATGTTTTGAGACCTTTTTAGACTGACATAAATGGAAATTCGAGGAAGTTGAAACAACACACTCTCCAATCCCCTCGAAGAGAAACAGAAATATGACTTCATACGAAAGAAGATGAAAATCAAATCCATTTGAAATATATGTTTGAACTGACACCTTGTTGAGATTCTTGTGTCGAGGTTAAAAATATGTCAGGCCTGAGGCATTCACAAATTTCCGCGAACTTCAAGCTCTCATCACAAAACTTCTTCATTAATCATTTATAATTCTTTGGCAAAATTAATCTATATTTCCTCGCAAATCTACGAGCGCCTTACCAGATGCCTCTGCTTCTAATCATCTATCGAACATTACACCCATACCATAGACCCTGATGGCTGATCAACATGGCTCTGCTTCTACAGCAGACGCCCCACCTCAAAATCCATATTCGATGCCTATGAGCATTAATGTCGCAGACATTGTAGAGGAGGAAGAAGATGAGGATGAGTACGAATACGAATATTCTACTACAGAAAAAGAGGCAATTATTCTCAAAAGCTCTTATTTGTTAACAATTCTAATGTGTGCAATAGATATTCTATGTAACTCTCGATTTAACAAATCCAAATGTTCCTATCAAAAGAAAGTTGGTGAAAACGCATCCTCGTCGCAATGCTAAGAAATGGTTAAATCCTGGTCTTGGAAAACATCGAAGACATCTCGGAGACTCGACTACCATCGTAACTGATAAGGACAAATCTGTGAAAGCTAAAGGCAAGGGGAAAGGAAGAGGGAAGAAATCATTCAATGGCGAGCACGATGAAGATGATGATGAAATGGCAGAACGTGAAGAAGAAGAATTTTCAGACGATGAAGCTGCACCACCTGAGCAAGTGCCGACAGAACAGAAACCCGTCGAAGCTCCCAAGAAATCCACTGGAGAACAATACTCGACTTTCATCGCAGATACCCAACGTGGAGGAGAAGCTCCAGCGGTGCCAAAACCAGAAGTGCAGATATTAGGGTTGCATGAAGATCACCCAGTTGTATCTTATGAGGGAAATATATATCACTGTCGATGGGAAGAAAATATGGGCACAGAGTTACTTTTCACAGCACACGATCCCTCGAGTAAATTACCTATTTTACAGTCCGTGTCAAACGATGTCGATTTACTAGCTGCGAGTACAGCGCGCATAACTTCCGTCAACACCAAAGTCGAAGACAAAGATCCGGATTCTGGCGGGAAGGGTCGCAGTTACTTTTGGAGATCGGGTAACATTCGTGAGCTCAAGATACCGGTTGGTGTAGCAGCTTCTGAGCAACGGAAAAATCAAGCATTCTTTTTGCAATCCTTGATTCAAATTAAAGAATCGAGGCGCGAAAGGGATCATGTTACAGTAATGGCTCAAAGAAGAAATACCAATCGGCAATGGAGAGCAGTCATGAAACAAAAACAAGCAGCCGAAGTAGCACGAATTCGAAAAGCTATGGTGACAGGAAAAATGAGGAAAGCGGATGGACAGCAAAGATTAGATCAGATGGCTAAGGATGCTGAGATTTTGGCCGCGGAAGATAAGTTGAGAGGTATTGGGCCTGATGGGAGGAAGATAAGACATGGTGGTAGGAAGAAAACTGTAAATGCGGAAAATCAACCGATTCTTCGAAGACCTCCTGGCGGACTCACGAATTACCTGATGAATAACGCTGCTGCAGAGGATGACGATGATGAAGAAGTGGATATGGGTCTTGACAGGCCCCCTCCCAAGACTAGGAATACACGGTCATATGCCAATGCAGAAGATGAAAATTTGGAAGCAGAGGATGATGGAGAGATAGAGTATGGAGAAGAATATGAACAAGGAGAAGACGGGGAAATGGTTCTCGAAGATGAAGCTGATTTTGAGGAAGATTACGAAATGGAATAGTTGAGGAGGTCAGATATAGTTTGAGGAGTATGTTAATATTAATCGATTGAATTTAAATTCCAACTGCCCGTTTTTAACTCCCTTTGCAGTGCCGCTTTCCAAACAACTTTCCTCCTTTCTCCTAATATGCACTCAGCGGTGTCAGTACTAAGCATCCTCAAACTTTCAATCTGTCTTCCGCCAAACTCTCCTGAATCTCTACGAGCCGTGCAATCGCAACCTCCTAAGATCTGCGTTCCTCCCTCAATCCATCAGGTTGCCGTCCTCTATCAAAGCGTCAGGTAGACATCCATAACATCTGATATGTATCTAACAAAAAAGGAATCCCAAAGATCGGGTGAAGATAGGAATTGGCATACCACTTCACGAACCACAGCGATCCCAGAAACTGGAACGGAAATTGCAAGAATTGGGTGAGAGTGTATATGGGTCAGACTCATGACGACCATCGTGATGCGGAACCTAAGCGTAGAACAATAAGTCTTTTTATTTGTTTGTCTGGACTGCAGATTTCAAGCTGGCAAAAAGGTAAGAAGATTTTACATATGTGAGCCAAAAATGAAAAGAGAGAATGGAAGACCATAAAAACAATTGCAAGTGCAATCCCGCGTAACTTGCAGTTTCGTCAATATCACTATATGAGTGAACCAATCACAGCCTCAACATGCGGTTATGACGGTTAAGTCACATATTCGCCAATCAGCCAGATTAATCCTATAGATCCAAAGAGATCCACGTGGAAGGACTTGAACCTCCTCGGGATTGCACTTGTTAGCAATCAAACCTATGGATTGTTGGGAGTCCGTATAGACCCACTTTTAGCCGTCGCCCACAACGCGATATACTACCATTGCACCAGGCCTGTATTATGCGCTTTAGTTTTTTGGGGTATCGGGAAGGTGAGGGTATAACAATGGGTGAATATCTAGCGAGCAATTTGTCATTGTGATGTTGCTGGCCATGGTTTTGTGTCTAAATGGACTTGCAGTATTGTCTTGTGTGTATCAAGTATGGTTAATCTGGATTCCAACTTCTTACAGAACGAATATGGCTACATGAAGGGATTGGAAGCGATCAAGACTTAAGTTATTTGTGCGCAAGGGAGTCGATGGAAAAAGGTTATGAAGTAGGCGACGATGACGGAGCTGAGAATATCAAGAAAGGGAAGGAAGCGAATGTACCAAAAAGTACGGGCATGGATGTATGAAATGATCATCAAATGATCATCAAATGATCTCTACATTTTATTCCTACAGAAAAGTTAAATATCTAGACCATCATGGCTTGGGCACCAAACATTCCACCAAGTCCACCATCTCCACCACCACCTCCAGAATAACACCACTTCTTCCTCCCATACCCTCATCATCCTCTCCACAAACACCTCCCTCTCCGGGAGAAAGAACAGAGCCTGGACGAATAGCAGTAGTTTCTGCAGCCGCAGTCATAGCATTCTCATTCTCTTTCATCTCCTCCGCCTCTCTCTCGATTCTTTGCTCCTCTATCAAAAAAGGAATATTACCACCGGATTTGCAAGAATAGACATTCCAATTCATCCTCAATACATCAAATGTGCGAGTTTCAGCAAAGCTAATGTTCACATCACTCAGTAGACACCCATTAATCCAACCATAATATAGCAAAACATAATAACAACATTCTATCCCAATCACAGATCTTCACACAACCAACACCTCATTCAATCCATCCATCCAAAACCCTCACGAAAGGATCCCAAAACATTTTCCCCACGTCAAATATCGAGTCTCTCTACACGAAATCCTCAAACTTACCAAGTCTAACCAGCTGTCTGAGCTGTAGCTGTAGCTGCAGCGTAAGGTTAGCCTCAGACTGCAGTCTCGCCTTCTCTGCTTCTTTCCTCGCTCTCCTCTCGGCTGGTGTTGCCCTTCGTGGCTTGGGCTTAAACTTCCTCCCCGACTTTTGATTTTCGCGTGCCATCTTTGCTATTATGGATGAGTGATGGTGAATAGAAAGTACGTATTCATCTAAACAATTGTTTATAAACGTGGTGATATCGTGGTGGTGGATGAATGAAAACATGGAATGTAGAGGGCAAAAAGTCAGGTCTGGAATTTCTTTTGTGTACAATTTTAATCAGAGTGCATTCCATTATCCGACGAAAAGCTGGGAGATATCTCGTCTACTGTTTAAACAGTGGAAACCTTCCGATTAAATATTATCCAAACCATCCTCCTGTCTCAAGAAAACCAACTGTATCTTCGGTACTCTCCACTCCGCACCACCTCTCTCTCCATCCTCCTCCCACTTCTCCCTCAAACTCCCCTCCACCTCTCTCTTCCACTCCTCGAAAAAATCTTTCCTCTCTCCCCTCCCGTTCCCCTCCCCCCTCCTCTCAAACTCCCTAATCTTAAACCGATAATTCCCATCATTCGTCAGCGCAAACGTCCCAGGCGTAGGGGTCACGTAGTCTCTCCAAAAATCCCCTTCATTTTCCACTTTTCGAAATCCCCACGGAAACGACGAATTCGCAGGACTTTTCAACGTGGTTCCTCCACCATGACTCCAATCTATCCCGCCTCCTGATTTCCAATGCGCGGGAATCGGAAAGGGACGCGAGGATGCGGAATCCGGGGAGAAATATGGATTCGTAGGCGACGAAGAAGCGGATGCAAAAGTAGGATGTTTCGGAAGTCCCGTGATGAAGCCCCCGCGAACATCCTGGAACCACCAATCGCAATTCAAGACCAAGAATAGCTCCTGCAAATTTTGAAAGAGTTTCACCACTCGCACAATTTCATACTGCCAGTGTTCGTCCCGACCGATCCATTTGGAGAAATCGAGCGCGAGGCGTCGCACCCGTGTGAATTCCGCAGGACGAAATTGTCCGATGTTTGTTCCGGTGCCGTCGACGAGCTCAGACATGATTCCTTCGTTGATATCGGAATCAAGGGCGCGCAGGAAGAGGATGTCTCGAGTATAGTTGAACCAGATGCGGGGAGGGGAGGTGCGAGTGGAGAATGTGAGGGTGTAGCCGAGGCGTTGCATGCAGGAGCGAGAGTCGCGACAGGTTTTGAGGAGAGAGGGGATGGGAGAATGGGAATACAGGGATCCGTGGCGGGTCGCTTGGTAGTAGGAGGAGAGGAGGGGATCAAAAAGTCGGGAGGGAGTGATTCCTTGTCGGTAATGAGGGTCCATTGATTTCAAATACAGAGGTACAAACTCTCTTTCTTCTTTCTCTTTCCCCTTGCCCTTCTGCCTCTGCCTCGTTGCGTCTCCTTCAGATTCCGAATCCCCAATCTCAACATCCAACCCATTATCCAACACGAATTCCTGTATCATCGGCGCCATCATATCGATTCCAAAATATTCCAAATCGGGATGAACATCCCTATCATCAATTTCTTTTCCAAAGAGTCCTCTTTCAAATGAGAAAGTGTTTCAAAAATTCTCCTCAACCCCTATTATACGCGGGGGAGGAAGTGCATGAAACCAGATTAGATCACGAAGTTCTTTTGGGAGGGCGGAAAAGAGGTGGAAGGATTGGAGGGACATTTTTGTATTTTATCTTGGACGGAGCACGTTTGAGAGTAGGTACAGAGACTGCGTCGGTTATGGTGAAGGGGAAAGAATTGGAAGAATGTTCAAGGGATAAATGTTTGGAGAAAGGCGAGTGAGATATCGAGGGCGGCGAAAAGTCAAGGATATTTGAGGAAAGGAGTAGAAGTTTCTGCCTAGATTATTCAATCTAAGTATCCAATAATTCATCAACACAATTAAATGGTGTACTATGATTATTCAGAAAGTATATAATATTGATGCCTATTAGGTACATGAATCAGCTGCATTCGAGATGTCATGTTGCTGTGATGTTGAAAAAGAGTGGCTTAGCCGGTTATACCCCTACTTCCGGTGATCCCTGGATATGCAGATCCGATGCATCTTACATCTACTCATCCGGAATAGGCAGGTTGAAACGTCGATCTGTTTGATAAGATGTTGTGTATATTACATATTGGATTGTATTACTCTAAAGGCACATTTGTGAAGGAATCCGTCGTATTGTTGTTAGTTCCGCCGATACCGAGGCATATCTTTCAGAGTTGTTGTACGAAGTTAATGTCGAATAAAATTGTCAGCATTTTGGATGACAAATGCACGAGTTCTACAACCGATCTAGACCACAAATCATGAAAAACCTGAACTCTTCCATCTCATTCTTTAGAGCAGATTACAAACCGTTCGCTTCCCAATCCCATCGCGTCCTCAATCTCAAGTACTCTTCGGTCCTCCTTGTCTCAACCCCAAATCCACTCCCTGAAGCAACGTATAAACCGTCTCACAAACCCTCATATCCACCCCCAACTCCCTACCCCTCTTAACCGGCACTCCAAGTATAACATCTAACTCTAACTGTCTCCCACACAACGCATCAGTCAACATACTCGTACCAATACTCGGCATCCCTAGTATCCTCTCTATCAATCTATCAATCAAATCATCTTTGATATCTACCTCCATCTTTCTTGCAACAGCAACTACTTCTCCCATGAGCGTTCGCGTCATGTACATAGCTTCTGGGGAAGAGTTGAGCCACTCGTGTGTATGGAGACGTGTAAGTGTAGTTAGACAATTCCAGGCACAATTCCAAATGACTTTTTCCCAACGAGCGGTCTGCAATCTGGAAGGAGAGAAAACTTCATGTGGTGTTCTTCCGGCGGATAATAGATCCGAAAAGATCTTTAATCGTTTGTTTTCAATTTCTGTTGATACATTCGAATTTGTGAAAAGTCCTAGTTGCAGATTCTCGTTTTTGGTATGATGAACGATGCCGAGTGTGTTTTGAATGGCGCCGGTCCACGCAACACAGGAGATGATGGTATTTTGAGGATAAATTGCTCGGAATGGGTCTTCGTTTCCAACGCCATTTTGGATAAGTACTATAGTTGTTGACTCGGAAACTACTGGTGCAAGAGATTTAGCTACGACTTCTTGGCCAATAGCTTTGTTAGAGCAAATTATATAATCATAATGACCCGGTGCTTCGTCGGGTGTTTTGATGACTATAGAATGTTAGTAACGAACATGAGGTTGAAGGACGAGAGCTTACTGTTAGCTGGGTAAAAGATATTTTCTCCGTGATTCTGACTGATAAGCTTCAGTCCCTATCAAGCATATTAGCTTTCTTGATGAGCCACTCGTGACATGAAACTAAACACACATTCTCCTTCACAGCTTGATAATTTGACCTTGCAACGACAGTTAATCGTACGTTTGATACTCGACTTAGAATGAATGCATAAACAGAGCCAATCCTGCGACCCCGCATTAGCTCAGACTCAAACTTGTATGCTTGTATAATATTAGATAGTGACTTACGCTCCAAGACCATAGAATAGGACATTGATAGTCTCCCCATCAGATGTATTCGACGTCATCTCGATATTCTGTACTTCAGAACTAATCCACAGTATCTTGGATGTCTCTGGGAATGGAAATTATTAATTGGTGTGGTCGGTAATCATAAGATCCCCATTGCAACATTTCACCCAACAAACACCTATTCATCCCACCTTCGAGGCTTAGCTATTATGCATGTGCTCATTCAGCTTGCTATTTCGATGCGTATTATTTGGTATAGGAAAGAAATCAAGGGAATAAAGTACATCGGATTGTGGTAATTACCGGTGTTGTTCACCAAAATGGAGAAGTGACAGCAGATGAATAATTTAAAGTTTTCGTCACAGGCAGATACTGGCTATTCTAAATCAGCTCATACCAACAGACTAATAACATACATATACCACACGAGCACGAGTCCATAGAACCAGCGAACAGTGCAAATCCCAGGTGTTCAAAATAAAGGTTTAATATTTCTTAATATAGTACCCATCTATCCAACAATTAGACACTCTCGATATATCTTCTAACCTCCCAATCCGTTACTGCCTCATCCCACAGTCTAATTTCATGTTCCCTGGTACCACCATAATGATCTACGAATTCATCTCCGAACACTTCTCTCGCTATACTATCCTTCTCCATGAACTTCTCCGTGGCTTCTTTCAAATTCTTCGCTAATCTAACCCCTGGATCTGCTTTTCCTCCTACATCTTGACCTTTTCCTAACGGTGGTTGTTGAATTTCTAATTTCTTTTCTACTCCTCTCCACCCTAATGATAGGATAGCTGCTAGTACGTAGAATGGATTTGTATCTGCACCTGGTACTCTGATTTCAAAACGTGTGGCACCGGGTTTGGAAGTTGGAGGTGCGATCAGACGGACAGACGCTGCACGATGTTCAAGCCCCCAAGATACTGTTACTGGAGCCCAGAAATTTTCGACTAGACGTTTGTACGAGTTGACTGTTGGTGCGAGAAGTGGCATGACATATGGAAGGCCTTCCAATACTCCAGCGAGGAAATGACGCCCCATATCCGAAAGATTCTCAATATCCTTCCATTTTGCTTCCGTATCTTTAGTTTCTCGGAAGAAGAGATTCTTGCCATCCTTGTCGACGATCGAAACATGCATGTGCCCACTGTTTCCGGGAAGCCCTTGACGTGGCTTAGCCATAAAGCATGGGGTGATGCCGTATTTTGTTGCTACTGATTTGACCACATATCTAACAATGTTAGCCTCTCGTCCTTAAAATGGTAGGGAAATCTCCAAACTTACTTGAACAAGCTTGCTTTGTCCGCCATTTGTTGAATCTCCCCAAATGCCAAAGCTGCCTCAAAAACACCAGGTCCACTCTCTGTATGCCATCCTTCTATTCCACAATTGAATTGTTCGCATGCATCATATATCCCATAATAATAATCTTGGTTGTGAACTGGTCTCGTTAAACTGTATCCAAACATTCCTTCGGTCAACGAAGGTAATGAATCGACGGGGTTTTCTCTTAGGAAGGTTGCTGTTGAAGAAGTGTTTCTTTCGGAAATTGGTGCATGAGGATTGCTCGCCGGCGCTTTGAATTGGAAGAACTCGTATTCAGCTTAAACTTGTTAGTTATAACGCCTATGACAGTCCACAGATGCTCATACCTCCAGCCATTGCACCCAAACCATTGGCTTGTAACTTTTCCACTGCAGTCTTCAACAATCCCCTCGGGCATGCAGAAACCGGCTTTCCGGAGTCCGGATCATAAAAGCTGATTAAAAAGAATGGCACATTATCTTCCCAAGGTATCCTTCTGAAACTACTCAAATCCGGAATCGCAATAATATCATGATAGCCATTCTCCGCATTACTGATTTTCAATTCCTTAAAATATGTCTGATCATGCATATCCCATCCGAAGATGACCGAACAGAATCCAAACCCTTCTTTGGCGATACCTAGAAACTTCTTCTTGGAGACAAGCTTCCCACGCAATATACCATCGACATCTATCCCAGCCAATTTTACTTTGGTATCATTTTCGAGAAGTGTGGTGAGATTCTCGGCGGTCTTTTCATCCCATTGCTTGTGTGAAGCTATCCATTCTGGAGTATCTGGCATCTTGACGTTGAGTTGAGAGGGAATCGTAAGGAGTGAATGGGACTCGTTAAGCTTGGTGTCTTTGAGAACGATTGGCAGATTGAGTTCACAGGATATCTAGGATCTGGCTTGTCGAATGTGGAGGGAGGTTTAGATTGTTGAACACCTTAAGAGGGGGAAAAGAGTGGTGAGAGTAAAGCAAGGAAGTTTCCCTACAATTTGCGATAAGAGATTCTGCGATAACGCGAGGGGCTGTAGTGGATGCTGCTTTAATATTATCATCCCTCACACGACCATCACTTTGGCGGATTCTAGCAGTCTAGGATGTCGGTGAATATTCGGAGGGTGCTTAATTGTTAAAATGGCAACAGATCTTACTGAAAATGAATTGATATGCAGCCATGTACCGAACAACTGCGCAGTGCGTCAATGCCAGCAAATTATTCCACGAAATCATCATATGTAACGAGAAGAGATAACTACATGTATTGATCTGTTCCAAAGTGATTACACGAAGATTCGTGTAAAAGGTGTATCGTTATGACTTTATTAGTCAACAGTAACGACAGCAATAAGGACAGCATTGGTTGTCTCATTGTCTCCTCAGAAATCCATAGCGCCCACCATTGGAGGAGATTGCCCATGACAAATATTATCATCTGACCATCATCTATCGTCTCTTCACCTATCAAGGAATTGAGAGTCTCACTCCACCGTACCCCGCGACAGGATGGTTGCACTTCAGCTGAACGCTGACTTCACACTTAGACTAAAACTCAAACTCTCAGCTCTTGAGGCTGTTATACCAAAGCGACCAATACCTACGTGGGTACCTCGAAGCACCCAGTATATATATACAAAGAGATGAGGTATTAGACATGAAACATCGCCCAAAAGCTGTGTTGTATCAATTGAACCAATACCCAATACCAATACCAACATCCATACCCTCCACTACAGTCAATGATCCATATCTACAATCATCTGAGGTTTTCTATTTCCTGATTCAGTCATTGAACCCCGGGTTTCCTTGGAGTTTGGAGAGCATTATAACAGATTCACGATTCATTCTCGATTCCCTATCAGTTCCATCTCTCTTTATCCAAAGAGCAGCGGTGAGTTTCATTTGCCATTCATTGAATGACTGAATCGTGTTTCGGGAATGGATATTCTTCGGAACGATAACGAAGGGTTACCACTTACCACCTACCACTCTCGAGCCACTGCCCACTGCCCACTGCCCACTGCCCACCGCCCACCGAGAACGGACCAAGTGTATGAGCTTGTGTGTGCTCCGTACTTGATACCAGTGACACATCAGCATCCACATTCTCTCTCTTAGATTCAATTATCATCACAAATAATATTTCATAACAATTCTTCGGATCATTTCGAGTTCCTTCTATACTTCTACAAAGGGTGAATATTTTCCACAACTTTATCAAATCTTCGGGAGATTTCTTTTTCTACACCATCAAACATATCTATATCAGGAACAAAGAGTAAGTTTCGTTTTTCGTTGTCAGACAGAGACAAGTAGTGTTTGTTTGTTACGAGAACATTATAACCATAACCCTTTCCTTGGTAGAGAGTTCATCAATCGCTGACAAGATCTTCAATAGAACACAGTATTTAAATAAAAAATACATTCAACATGGCTGGCAGCGGAGACAAAGTTCCTACCATCAACAGCTTCCAAATGGGAAGACTACATGGTAAAAATGCTATCGTTACTGGTGCTGCTGGGTGAGTCATGTCTTCAGTCTTTTCCTGATATGGTATTCTCGGCGTGATTCGGGATTTGCGGGATTTGAAAGATCGGGACGATGAGTATCGTATCTGCTTTCTCTTCTTTATTCAGAGTTATGCCCTTATCAAGTCCTTCCGAGTAATGAGAGTGTTTGGTATGGCCACACACGTGACTTCCTTCTTTTTGTAAAGGGTCGAGCGACGGCATAATATGAGCGGGCCGTGAGAGCGTTACACGGGAAATTCTATATCGCGAAAATATCCATATTAAATATCAAATCAATCATCAGCATATACTAACACCCTTCCCAGAGGAATCGGTCTTGAAACCTGTATCCTCTTCGTCAAAGAAGGCGCCAATGTCCTCATGGCCGATATTTCCGCACCAGCACTCGAGAAAGCCGCCGCAAAACTCAGACAACTAGTTCCATCCGCCCACAAAGTTGAAGTTAAAGTATGCGACGTCTCCAAAGAATCTGACATCGAGGCCGCAGTTGCTCATCTCGAATCTTGGGGTGGTATTGATATCATGTTCAACAATGCTGGAATTATGCATGCTGATGATGCCGATGCTATTGATACCCCTGAAAAGATTTGGGATTTGACTCAAGCTATCAACGTTAAGGGTGTTTGGTTTGGTTGCAAACATGCCGTCATTTCTATGCGTAAGAACAAGAAGAGCCGTGGTTCTATCATCAACACTGCATCTGTTGTTGCGCTCGTCGGTTCTGCTACTCCTCAATTAGCATACACCGCTTCCAAGGGAGCAGTTTTGGCCATGACAAGAGAATTGGCTATTGTTCACGCAAGAGAGGGATTCAGATTCAATGCGCTATGCCCAGCTCCATTGAACACTCCTCTTCTTCAAGATTGGTTGGGAGATGATCAACCCAAGAGACTTAGACGTGAGATCCACTTCCCAAGTGGAAGATTCGGAGAGGCTATTGAGCAAGCTCAAGCGGTTTTATTCTTGGCTAGTGATGAGAGTAGCTTTGTCAACGGACAGGTATGTTTTTTGTTTCCTTTTATTTGATCCCGTCCATCCCTATCCTCCTACCATTTTCTAAGCCCCCAAAACCCTCTTATCTAACATTAACTACAGGATTTTGTTGTCGACGGCGGTATGACAAAAGCCTACGTCACCCCCGAAGGACCACCTCTCGCTGCTCCATCCAACAACGCTCTTCTCAGCGAACCAGTCGATGCTATCCGTGGTACCGGCATTCCTCAATAGATCTTTTGTTTTGATTGAATCATCAGCTCTTTTGCTTGAATTTTAGCGTACACTTGGTAGATTAGGCTGGATCATTTTAGATAGATATCACGCTAGAATGAATGAATGAAGACCGATGAGTTTCACTATCATGTGATTTTTGAAATTTAAAGTATGATTAGTGATGTGAGTGAGTTGATGCGAGGCTAGTATTCGGAATATAAAATGTGGTTGTGGGTTCTGGAACTTATCAGGGTAGAAGAGGGAGAGCAAGTGGTGGAGAAGAGGGGGGTGGAGGGTAATATCACTAGCGTGGCTCGGATTCATCAGAGTGAGGAAGTATAGAATAACAGACGATCAGCATTATCTAGGTTGGCATAGTGTGCTAACACATGTTCAACCGAGTGTGGTATATCGTATATGTTATCGGAATCTGGATTGTCATCTCTCAGAGTGCTGGGAGAAGTTCTGGGAGAAGTTCAATCTAAGTTATATTTTCAGTATGTACCTAGGGAGTAATTCTTGCTGGGCGATATCTGGCGGGGAAAGTTTGGTTGGTTGGATGGATTATCTAGGTGGGTAGGTAGGTAGGTATATCTATATATCTTGATTATTTAATTGTTTAATGGCTTGGGATCACTCGCTGGGGTGTAAGATGTGCGATGTACGATATGCGATATGCGATGTGCGATGTGCGATGTATTTTTGGGGAGTTACTTGATGTGATGTGATGTGTGGGTAAGAGAGTTAGTTAGTTTACTGAAATTCTTGAGGGTTGGGGATGTTGAGGTGGTGTTTTCTCATCGCTACGGTAAAGAAATGTGTATACATCAAATGATCTCGCATAATTGAAAAAAATCGCGATATTATCTACAACCCATTCAGCTCTCAGAGCAGCTCTAACTCATAAAATAAAATGCGATGCGGCTCTACGATAGATCAAGATAGAGCCCAAGACTCCGCCCACAATCCAAAGGCATGTGGAGCTCGGCACTCTATCTATTAACCACCGTAGAGCTCGCAAAGCAACGAGATAATCCGCAATTTAGTTTCCGGAGAGAAGGAGTTGGTTTACTCCTTGGCCTCCAGCGCCAGATCCTCCCCCGAATGAACCACCGAGCCCACCAGCTCCCCCACATACATCATCGTCATCGTCATCGTCCGGTAGACTCCAGTTACCGAGGACCGTAGTCCAGATCCTATCTTCTTCTTCCTCATCCTCGTCCTCATCAAAAGCGACTTCCTCTCCCGCCGCAATCCGCTCCGCGATTCTCAAACGGGCCATACCCTTAACAATCTTGGCATCGGCTTTGTTTGCCGCCTCGCGCTTAAGCTGCCGACCCTTTCTTTTGTGTGCCTTGCGGCGCTCATTTTGCTTCTGGCGCTGCTCCTCCATTTGCGCAGGCGTGGGTGCTGCATACCCCAACATGATTAGCCTGGTTCTTTTTCATCGAGGAGGATAAATAACTCCTCTTACCGTTCTTTGGTCTATATGTTAGACCCGAAAATGTGCTGGAGCTAATGCCCGCAGAAACGCCCGCAAGATCTCCTCCCTCCTCATGCCAACACTCATTACCCCCCACCCAGAAACCACCAGTGCCAGAAGGATTATGTGCCGAAGCACCACGTCTTTCCTCTTCTTCTCCTTCTCCCTCTCTTATCCTTGACTCTTCTTGCTCTGTCATAGTTGCATTTGTCAGTATAAAGAGTACAACGGTGAAGTTCTCAGGCACACCATGATCATCATGGATAAATTTAAGACATTTACAGATATAAAAATGTCCAGCTATGGACATATCTCAATCATTTCACGTTGAAAAATGATACACCAACTCATGGTTTCAACAAAGCGCATGGTGCTATGAAGGAAGTTATGCAACGCGTAGGTAAGTGGCTTACCCCTTTCTACTCGGACGGCAGCAGCATGTGCTGCAATTGCAGCCAACCTCTCTCTCTCGGCTCTCAATTCATTATTTGCCCTCTTGGCCTTGGGCTTAAATCTTGGTTCTTTCTTTGGAGGCATGATTGAATGTGTTACTAGTGAATAGCGAGTATAGGAGCAGATATAGAAGTTTGATTTAACACTGTAAATCCGATAGAATGGGAGTGCGTGAAGAGGAAGTGGTCGGTTGCAAGTCGCGTGAATTTGATATTATTGATTTGTTTACATCCGGTGTTCACATTTTCGCTCGCCTACATTAGACGATAGCTTCAGTTCAACATGGCTCAATCTATTCTGTTGCCTAAGAGACGCGGCCTAGTACTTTGGGTAATTGATACACCTTTCACTTGTTTTGACAGCCCTTATTGTTATACTCACAGACTTATTTGAATAACGATTGCGCCATACTTCAAAACTGACGTGCAACAGCTACATGGCGGCATTCTATTAACATTGGTTCTTATAGAATTAATCACCAAGCACCAATGACCAAGAGAAAGGAGTAGAGAAAAGCCGTTCTCTAGTTCTACATCTGCAAAACCTTTCGCCTGAGCTTCATCAACACTGCCGGTCTGATACTTGTCATTGTAGGTTCATCTGAACAGAAAACATGATGCCATAGAAAGCAGGACCTCAATTCCGCTCAAAGTGCCACTCAAGCCCCCTCGAAAGTTCACAAAATTCGATAACGAATATGACTAAAACAATGCTAACTGTCGGCGCACACTAGGCTCCCCAGTGGACCAATAGATCTTCCGGATTCGAAAACCCACGACTACCTGCCGTTAAGCCGCTCTCAATCGGCGAATAGTGCACGCAGCAGATGTCGCGCGCATTTGCAACAAGATGTATTATCAACGCGGATATAGGTACTGCGCAACCTTTGCAGCTGTTGGGTATGGGAATCTCTTAAGTAGACGATTGAGAAGTCTCTGGAATATAATAAAGGAAGATAGATACAAAGCCTCAACAAGATGATCCCGGAAAAGAACAGAGGTTTCCGGCAGCCTGTATGTAGGGATCAGAAAAGCTTGTTCTTTTGTCCACATTCTTCGGGAAAACATGCGCCGCCAAGTAGTCAAGCTGGAGTTCGTAATAAGTTAATGCATGATGGAGACTCGATTTTGGAGTCTCCTGACGGTATTTTGTTTGAGTCTATTGATATTCCCAATCTTTCGTTCGGCGGCTGGTCTCTTTCGATTATAGTCTCACAATATCAGAAGTTGATTGAACAGAAACACACGTCACCCAGCCCTTTTGGTAACGTTCTATTCTCTTTGACTTTTACGCACGACTTCGGTAGCCCTGTGTAAGCAGGTGGGGTTCTGACTAAATTTAAAGTACAATTCCTAACGTCACTTCATTGCCAATCGATCAGAACCACTTCCAGCGATACTTCAATCTGGCTACCGATAGCATGGAGCAGTGTAGCTATTTTTATCGTGTAGATAATAATGATCTATCTCGTAATATTCCAGTATTTCCTCAAATAGATTCTTGTGCTATTGGAACACATGTTTCTAAATTCCATCTACATTGATTGTACTCCTACGATTGACACTTAGTATCTACTCTGAGCCAACCAGATATTTGTTCGAAAGTATAATATCACTGTCATTCTCCGAGGTTTATCCCTTCACTCGAGCGCGTGGAATGATTGAGATTGTTTTACAGATATACCTAGGTAGGTATTCACCACTAACCAAGGTTTCCCAATCTCGCTTAATTTCGAGTACTTATATTCTATCAGTACATAATCGTTAACAAATGAAATAATTGCGGCCGCAGACCTAGTGTAGTGGGTAGCATACGTGATTATACTTGTTCTGGGGGGATACAGAAAACAGGCTCACACCTGTCTTCTGAAGGAGCCATCTTTGGATTGGTGGGCGTCAGCCTACCGCGTAGTGGATTTAATTCTACCGAGGCGACCGCTGACAGATGTCACATCTACGAAATGAAGTCCGTACTTGTGTACCTTGAATCTGGTCAAGTGTTCCTGAGATACTTCTTTGTGGGCCGTAACGATATCTTTATCTTTTTGATCTTTTTTTATGCTTGTTTGTATGACTCAGCCACGTAGGGTCACCAGAGACTCACCTACACCACTATGTCTGTCCAGAAATGCAAAGAGTTCAATACCTAGTGATGGTTCAATTTAAATTTAGTGTATTTGATTTCAATTGACTGAAGAAAATGCGATGTGAGGTTCCATTCACACGAGCTCACAGACATTCTAAATAGTAATAAGTGTGTGTCTTTGCGTATTCGTCGGTCTATGTATGTCTCTCTGCTTGAATCATTCATATAGGATACTTATAATATAACAGGCGACAAGGTCAACAGCATTCAATCTGTAAGCTTAAAGATTCGAAACTGCCAATCATAGGGTACAATTCAAACCTCTAGAATAGACAGATTAATACTTGGGAATTAGTTCGGTGATAGCAAAGCGCGACATCTACAAAAACAAAAGATCTACCGAATAGGAATTTCCCAGGTACTTCCAGCTCCGCGACTCCCATCTCCTTTATCCCCGTTTCTTCCCTTATCCTTGTTCTTATCCTCCAACATATCCATCGCCTTATCGACGTTGTCGTTGGGATCTTCATCTTTTCCCTCCTCATCCGCCTTCATACCAACGTCAACATCAGTTCCCGCATCCTTCGAGCTCAAGGCTGCGCGCTTTGCGAGCCGGCGCTGGTTGCGGCGTTCCTGACGCAGTTTCGCAGCGATAGCAGATCGAGCCGCAAAATTCTTGGACATCTTCCCTATTTGTGAAATCCTATTAGCAGATGACCGATGATGAATGTGGTATGCGGTAGAAATAACTACGACGTAGTGAAAGAGACCTCTCCAAAAGATTGGTAAATGCGTAAGGTGGCGACCAGAAATGCAGAAGTTCTTACGTTTTGATTTATCCTTCTCTACGGAACCATGATTTGTTAGCCATCCATCTCTGTGGGTAACAGAAAAAAAGAACGTATCAAAATCAGATAAAACCACTCTTTTTGCAATTCTCTGAAGGCTGTGCTCCAGCGGTGGGAGCATTGAGGTGCGATATCTTGTCTCTCTTCTTTCCCTGATGTGTGTAAGGGGCCATGATTTTAATGATGAACTAAGGGGAATAATGGACTAGCTGTTAATTCTGGAAGTCTTTTTGTTGTCCCACGCTTGCAGAGATATCCAAAGCTTTTTGAAAAAGTACAAGAACCAAAGATCCATTTCTCAGTGCTGCTCGGGCCAGTTCCATCTCTGCCCAGGTGGTCAAAGAATCAATTCACATGGTTCAGTGAATATGTTGATACCCACACCCACCTGACTATTTGACAAGCATCCCTATCTCCTGACTCCCCTAGAAATTATGATCCATTTTGATAGCGTCATAACTACAAATCTATGCATATCATAGCGCCTGAGCCTTATGGTACTTGAAGTTGAGGTGGTATGAGAATCGCAAGAAACGGAAAATGTCTCAAGCTTGGAAATGGGTAAGACACTCGATCTTGAAACAGCATCTCCCTCAGTGTTCAATGAGTTCTCACACATCAATACAAACAAAAGAATTGAACTGACGCTAATTGATGTATCTGCAGATCCATAGAAATATTTTCTCAGAAAATCAGGCGCCTCCGATTTATGCCTGTCAGTTATTCAATAGGACTGGATTCAAACCCAGCGCAATCACGCAGCTCTCCTCCATCTCTAGCCTCAAACAAGAACTCGACCACAATTCTACTACTACGGCAGCAGATCCTAAGTTGGAATGATACTGGTGGCAGACAGGAAGAGACATCTGGGACATATAAGAATGCGGAAAGCAAGGCACAGGGATACCGGAAGTTGCGAGAATGCGAAGGATACTAGAGAATTAGATAAAAACGCAGAAGACAGGACTCATTCATTCCCGTTTATTCAGCTTATTTCATTCTTGAGGAATATAACCAGTAATCTTCATTATTCAAATCAGTTCTCTGCACATCGTTCACCTATCCGTGTGAGCATGCCTAGATTCAGTGTTCGGCCCTCCAAAAAAACTCGACCGCACAAGATTCACCCGCAGATTACCTTCTGGTCCCGTCATCTTGATCAACAATTCCAAAGTCATAAGATAGAGGATATGAATGTGAAATTGTACTTCTTGGTTATGGTTAGGTTTTGATGGGGGGCAACATAACAAACGCATGTCATGTTCTGGAATTTGTAGTAAAAGGCTATCCTTGATTCCAATCTAGTTGGTCATCGATCTGAAGCTCACTATTGTCGACGTCGAGGTAGATCAATGACATGTAGTTAATAGAAGCTTTATGATCCAGGAGAGTAACCTTATGTAAGCAAGTGGGGGCCCCTAGACACGAGCTGCAACATCACCTCATCGTCACCCCCAAAACAATCCTTCTAGATATTACTTCATTGTAGTTGAGGTCAGCCGTATACAAAGCACCTGAGATGGTCACTTCATTAATGATACACTGCACTCGCGCTCCCTTAGCTACTTCGACCTCCCACGGCCTTTTCGTGGAGTTGCTAGTGTCTCTGGCGGGAGGCTAATCCTCAACGAACAACAAAGCAACGACGGATGTCTAGTGTTACTTAGTAGCATGAGTAAGAAGCTTAAGGGATCGCACGAACTCTGCGTTTCGTGTGGAAAGTTATATATTCGTTCATCCATCTAGACTTTTGGGCGAAAAGCAAGTCCAGCAAACATCAATCCACCTGCGAATTCATTCTATCCCCATTCTCTCCACTTGCCTGATTGGCATCCTTCATGATCACACCTATAAATTAAGGACCAGTTCCCCCCCCCCCCCCCCCCCCCCCCCCCTTGCTGTCCAACTTCACCCCCATTATTGCTGTTCTCTTTTCTATCCCTGGCTTTTGTCTTCTGGTTCTTCACATAATCTTTCCAGACAGCCTTCCTAGCCGTAGTTTCTTCCGCCGCTGCATCTTTCAAATTGCTGTTCTCCTCTTCATGCGTTCCCTAACCCCCTTCCTCTTATCAACTCTTTTCGGTTCGCTTCGTACTAAATAAGGTCGTGGTTAGCTTAATATGCAAATCTATGTAGAAAAATTTACGTTTTTTGGGAGGCATGGAAGCAGCAGCTGGATGCCTGCTAGTACTCATGACACCCGTTTCATCATGCATTTCTGCATCTTCATTCTTTTTTTGACTGCAAATCTTGCACCTTTTTAGCTTATAGGACAATTAATTAGTTATCTTTCCTTTCCATTTTCTGTCTTTCTATAGATCTCACCATCTAGTTTTTGTTTATGTTTCCTTCTTTTTTTCTCTACGATCCTCCTTCCGACGCTCCCACACAGTGGATCATTGCTTCTAGCTCTCGTCATTGTGATTGAATTTTGTTGTGAGAATTTATCGTTGGGATAGTGGTACCGGTTTTTACCAGGGAGTCGATGGTGAATTCCCTGTGGTGGCAGAGTTAATACCTATGTACGAATAAAATATCAGTATAAATCCCCATATAAATATTTGATACATACATTATTGAATTCAAGCTTTTTTCGTCCCTAACGAAATACATTCTTCATCATCAACGAATATTTCCAGTTCAAAATGACAACCATTTATTATTGACATTTTAATAATAGAAAAAAAGAAAATAAAGGCATTCCAGCTGGAGAACCTTTATGATTTTTAGGAAAAGTAAACAAAAAGAAAGCGAGCATGGGAGCTAAGAAGAGGTCAAAGAGATGAATAGGAACTAGGAGGAGAAGGGGAACAAACAAGGAAGCAAGCGTAAAAACTAAAGGGTGAGAGAGGTGAACGGAAGGTATTAGCCGAAGTCTAAAAGAGAGTCTATTCACAAATCACTCATTTCATTTTCGATTTATTCTTTAATCAAAAGCTTTACCATTATACTATACAATACAGAATATACTATTTAAACAAGAGTCTTAATCAATTCTAATATATATAATTATATTTTGAAATCGATTATTAATTGTTGGTTCAATAATGAGATCAGGAATACGGGAGACGTGGTTCCCACTATCAGTAGGCCCCTAATTGTCTGTATTGTATTCTGTCTAAAGAGCTAGCTAATGAGGGGAAATAGTAGGCCTTATATAGGCACTACTGAAAGAGCTAGTCTCCTTCGCATTCGCCTAAATACCTTTGATACAGTAGCCATTGTATTGAAGTCATTCTTTTGAAGTGAATTCCCTTGTTCACACATTAATCGAATTCAATACAAGTAAACTTTTTGACTTGTAAATAGCCTTAGACTAAAACTTCGAAAATCAAGAAATTTCGAAAAATCAATAAATGTCACGGGGGGACACTAAGCCCTTTCTGTCCTGTCCTGTCCTGCTATATATGTGAGAGTAAGGTAGAACTTCCAGTTCTACCTCCTAGTCTTTTGGGCGTTTAGCTCAGCGGTAAAGCTTCTGAATACTCCCAGAAGTGATCCCGTGACAATAAATTTCGAAAATTTCTCTAAGTCCCTTTAAAGTAAAAATTTCTAATCATGTATATATATAAAAGTTAATCACATTAATACTATATGACCCATTTTTTCAATATAATATTAACTATTGAAATTTTTAATACAATTAACGAAATGATTTATTCGTCAACCACGGATTCTGCCACCACAGGGATTGGAAGACTTCTCAAAGTTTAAATTTTTGAAACTCTCCAGTATTATTTGTATAAGCAAGATTATGGTTTTCCTACTAGCAAGATCTGGAAGCTTAATTCGCTGAATCAGCAAGCGTTTTGTCCCGTTCTAATCGTCTTAGTGTTTTATGGTAAATTGAACAGTCAGCAACTTTCATCTATACTTTCCAACACTCTCTTTCTTGATGTTTGGGGATGACTAGAATATTGTGCAGAAATACGTGAATATATCTAAGACTCATAGACGCATCATATGGTCAGCGTAGCATTAGCTACCTAGTCACAACCGCATTTCTATACCAATAGCCATTATTATTCAATGTCTAAAGGTTGACTTGGAAAGTAAATTTGATTCTCTGAATCTATCTTTGCAGTCTAGAAGATCAGTGCTTACTGAGGTATATACTCCAATACATTAAATAACGAATCTTATTAATGTTTAAAACTCAGCCAAGTATCTAGGTAGTTGCAATTTGAGCTACTGTATCACTGCCGTGTACTCATCAAACACCAGTGTTCATACCACCATCGAATATCAAAGGTGGAATAATGGAAAAGCTCAAATGATAACCTTTGATTGGCTGCCACCTGTTTCATTCGAATGCATAATCTGTAGTCACAGTAAGGGAATCATAATTGTATCCTCAGCTGGGGCTAGAGATGAAGGAAAATTGCACGGTCACGCGGGTTTGAGTCGAGCCCCATTATCTGATTGATAGGCATAAAATGAGGGCAGTTGTTATCTTTTAAAGAAGAGTCTAATTCCATGATAGTTACGCAGTTTTTTATTAGCATGAACCCAAGCGTCTTGTTTGCTCTGATGTGGGAGAATGTTTGGGATATAGGTGAGATGATATTTCGAGATCCAGAAGGGATTATATACTTTGAGGGTGTTGGATGTGTATCAAATATCACATAGCACTCACGCCTGGCCTAGTGGGTTGCTTTGATGATTGTGGGTTGTTGGATATAGTGGGTCCGGGGTTAGCCAGGAAAGTCTCCAAAGAGAGGGTTTGAATCCCTCAAACGTACCATCTCCTGTAGATTCAGATAATGCGCGCCGGGGAGTTGGGACTCGGAGCTTAAGAGTTAACAGCTCTTCTAACATTTTTTTCTTGCCCATTTAAATTTTTTCTTGAGCATCACTACTGATGTTCGGCTTTGGAAGTTGAATAAAAGGTTCAATGCTCTAATGTAAAAATCATTTTTATTTCCATTCATACTTGCAGCATAACATTTTATTGTGATATTACAACGTTGCTGTTAGCTATTGTATCAGTAGGAGGAGGAAGAATCAAAACGCCCCCTCAAAGTGGAAAAATGCGCCCGTGTAAACCTGCATTTGCCTTTCAAGAGCGAAAGCTTATCTATCGCCTAGTAAAAAATTTATTCGACATTCAAAACAATTGAACAGATTTACCGGGCTTGTCTATGAGTTTGAGACTATGCAAAACCAGATGACCACGCATTTTTGCTGTATGCGGACAGAAACAAGGATTTAACATGTCGTGAGCATGCAAAGCGGCTACATTGATGTCCGTTTAGCATTGGTCTCGAACGGCTAAGCGAATGCAAAGTGTGGATCCGATGACTAATCCAAGCACCCAGCATCGTAGAAAAAAGCACAAAAGTCAAGAGATACTAGGTAGAGAAACATGCAAGCTTCAGGAGTGTGAGAGGTAGAATTCTGAGTCCTGAATTAACCTATCACCAAATGTTGACATGAACCACCGTCCATTTGCCCAAGATAAAAACTCAAGTCATGCGTCTGATCGGTTGGCTTTCTTACCCATCTACAGGACAGTATTGAACAGTATTTTTTCTTTACATTAAAGGACTGTGAAAAGAAAAACTTCTATCATTCTTTCTAAGTCATCTCTATAGAGGAATGAAGTTGCTAGTTCGATAACTTAATTTCTCAATGTAAATGATTTCTAACCAATCAAAAGAACATCAACGTCTAATTTTCCTCTGTTCACATTTAACACCGCCTTCTATTATTACAAATTTGTTAGAAAAATCGAGTCTTGCTATATCGACTGGTTGAAACGGATTGATGTTGGTAAGGCTTCAATATTCACATAATAAGGACTTTCTGATGTTGACGAATGTTTAATTATTACCCAAAGCTCTCTGAATGCAAGTTTTGTTCTACATTTTCAAACAAATCCGCTACCCTTAAGGATCGTTTTTGTTAAAAGAACGAGGCTAAATCATTGTCTATCAAAGTGATATTGACGAATTTTGTTTGTATCTGGAATCTGGATATCCTATCGTTCACCCTAATAGACCAAAACACACTTCTAGTATCCAAGAGTGGTCTAATACTCAGGTGAATTCAGTGTACAAGTTTGTTGAATCATTCAATACTCTTTATAAATTCAAGGCTTTCCATGGTTGAACTTTGGCTTGGAATGTGAAAGTCCTGTTTATGTTAGGTTGTGCGAAAGTCGCGGGTACAAATGTATTCACTATACGCGTCTCCAATTTAATGATATTAAATTGTCCACTACACATGAGAGCTATTGTCTAATTAATCAATATTTAACGCTTTTATTGGATAGCATAAAACCAAAATGACTTAGTCATCAGCGACTTGTGAGCTAACGATGTAAATAAGCATTCGCGAATATTTCGAAGTTTTTCGGCATCGTTCCAGTCCGAATACCACATCCTCTCTCGAAAGATCAAACGATTATCATCAAAGCGCAATGTTGTATATTAATAAGAGACTGAAGAAGGCAAAGCCAAACTATACTGCGGCCCATAGAGGTCACATGCGTGCTTTGGAGCACGAACGGCGTGCCTCCGCCAAGAAAATCATCTGGGCCAACATCAGGGCTGATATGATTTTCGCTGCTGAACAGCGTAAGTTATAAGACTATCCCATTGATCGCAATAACGTGATACAAATCTCAGGGCAATTGAACTGATTTACTATATTTTAGGCGCAAAGGCACTTCTTCCCGTCCAACCTGTCTCACCCAAGAGTAAGTCAAGTCTAAAGTAATAGATATATTGCTTAATAACATTCTTCATGAATATGCAAAGCCATATATCTGTTGACACATATGCGTCTTAGGGTCCCAGAACGAGAAGGAAAGACGTGCGGCGGCGGCTGCTGCTATCAAGCAGAGACGTCATGATCGCAGAGCTGCTGCAGCAATAGCTAGAAAAGAAGCAGAAGAGAGGGCTGAAGCTGAAGAAAGAGCCGAAGCAAACGAAGTTGCGAGCCTCGCTCGGCAGTTTTGGGAGTTGCGGTTGGCGGAGCGGTGGTTTGAGGGTGGCAAGAATGATAACGAGGATGACTACGATGAGGAAGAAGATGAAGGGGAAGTGAAGAGCAAGTTGAGGGGTTGGTTTGGGCTGTGTGAGAAAGATGACGATGCGGATGAATCTAATGGTGGAGGTAACAGTGGGGGAGGCGAGGCGAGAATGGATGGAAATGGTCAGGTGTGGTTCGAGGCGTGGACGTGGTGATTAGATTTGTGTGATTTGTGTTCTGGAATGAATGAAATTTTAAGGTTTGGGCTCTACAGTACTGTTGGAGGGTTTTTAGACGGAGTCTCAGGCTCTTTTGGGATTCCAGGCGTAGAAGAATACGGCTTCTTTCTTTTTTAACCAGGGCTGAATGAATGTTTCAGTTATAAGCCACTCTCCATTACCGCCACTAACTACCTAGGTAAACTACGGGACTTGTTCCAGAATCGTGCATCCTAGGGATGAGTTTAGTATCCCTTTCATCCACGGTTCAGTAATGATAGCCCACATAATACCTGTGAATTTGATTCTCCGAAGTGAATTATTGCCATATCTGTCAATAAAATAGGTGCTGGGTTAACGTTTCTCCATCATGCCACTGTAAAAATTGAGAATTGGGACACCATTTCCATCCATCTCTGCGCAACATCATCCCATCTGACCATCATTTGCATCAGAGATTCCAGATGAATGGCTTCGGAATTATATCACAATGGCCCGCCAACGTTGGCAGAAGCCAATTCGATAGATAGGGTTCAATTTTAGGCCGGTAAAGGGTTGAGGAACCACCTCGTGTAAGTGACATGGTATGCATGCGTGTCTGCCTTCTCTGACTCCAAAATTCAGATGCACCAGGCTAATTACAAGCCATCCACAGAACAGCCTACGGATTATGAATAGAGAGATGCAACATGGGGCGCCTTTAGGCCAGAGGGAGGCACAATACTCCGGGGCAGAATATAGGACCGTTTGTGGAGGTGTCAACATCGCTAAATAAATATGCGTTATTTGTACAGCAGATGAACCGCAGCAACTTTCACCACAGCATCAGCCTCGTGTGATAGTCAAAAGAATAATGCCAAGACGAAAACTAAAATCACTTCTAAAGTGTATGTTTAATACATCATGGCCCCCCGATCGTTCCTCTGAAGACCTCGGAGATAATATTTTTCGTAGCAGAAAGACTAATGAACGGGGAAAACAAAAGAAGAGCGCCAGGTGACTTACCCAAAGCTTCGTAACGCTCGTCGAAAACTGGCTACATGATTGGCCCTATCAGAGCGGTAACTCAAGTGGTATCTGTACTTTGGGCATTGGGGGCGAAGTGGATTACGATAAAAATGGCGAGGATGACAGTGATAATAACGAAGAATAGGGGATGAATATTGAGGAGTATGGATTTGGATCAGGGTCATGATGTAGACGACTATGACTGGAGTTGGTGGGCATGGTAAAGGAATTAAATGGAACTGGTTGGTACGACTAGGGACTAGCCTAGCCAGTCATAGTCGCTGCTGTTCGAACTCACGGATTTGTATAACAAGATTAAGTATTCTTTTGATTACACTAAATTTAACAGAATCCCACACACCATTAGCCTTTCACAAAGGCGGCGCATTAGGATCCTCCAAACATTGATCCACCCTCATCAACTGCTTCCCCGTTTTCTTCGCAATGTCAATGAACTGTGGCAGATAGTTCACGGTCGACTCGTACAAGTAATGCATCACCACTAAGTTCCCCCCCTTATCCACATCACTTTGGAAATTCGTAAGCTGATTTTGAGGTGTATCACTCAGGGCCCATAGCCAATCCTGTACATCAACCGACCATTCGACGAATTTTGAGCCCGGAATAAGCGCAGCAAGACGCTGACGAACACGCGCGCCTTCTGTGCCGAATGGAGGGCGGAAATAGGTTGATGTGTGGCCGGAGAGGGCGGTTGACACTGCAGAGATGTCATTGTTGAGTTCCCAGTCTATGGATGCGAGGTTTGGTAGGCCTTCCATAGGGGGATGCGTGTAGGAATGATATGCTACTTGATGACCAAGACTCAACATGTTGGAATAGACTGTTGAGAGATTCGTAGATGGGTCGAGGAGAGCTGCACCAACGGTGAAAAATGTTACGTGGATACCTGCTGCTGCGACGGAAGAGACGACTCTTTGGGCGAGTCTTGGATCACCGTCATCGATTGCGAAAGCGAACGAGTTGGGACGTGTGCAGGAGAATATGAGAGGTGCTGTTGGTAACTTGGATGGAACCAGGAAGCCAGATGGAACGGAGTTAACGATTTCCATTTTCGAGATGATAGTATCATCGGAGGTATAGAAACCCTTTAGCGCGAAACCGACGCTGAGTTTGCGGTCGATTTCGAAGTGGGAGATTGGTACATAGATGTCGGTCTTTGCCGAGTTAGAGTATCTCGATGCCTCCACAGAATCCCATGTGAACGGAAATGGGCTGAGATTGGGATTGCAGGTGGGATTATGTTGCTGAAGAGCAATGGTAAAGGCATTACTTCCGGTAAAAGCGATGTGAAGATAACCTTTGTCGTTTGGTGTAAAGTCGAGGCATCCATTGGAAACTTGAGTGTACCAACCAAGGTCAGAATTACCCTTGGTATTGATAGTAAGCTTGTTTCCAGATTTTTTATAGGTTGCGGTCTCATCTCCACCATGATAAAAGCCAAGGTTGTTAGAGTCTGCATTTCCGAAAGTATCAATAACATATGCTGAAGGTCCTGTGGTTGCCGGAATGGTCGAAGACGGCTCAACGACGGGGACAGTAGTGGGAACTGGGTAAGCGGTTCCTGTGTTACCACAATAGAAAGACATCGGGCCGAGAGTGATTGGCTTGCTAATGCCAGAAAATAGAACAGAGATCAAATGATCAGTGTCGAGGCCCGGAAATTTGGAGAAGGGAATGGTATAAAACTTTTCGGTTCCGTCAAAACTCCACCCCAGATCCGCAGACGAGACATCTATTAATGTGGGGTTACCAGAATCACAAGTCTTCGAAGTCTGCAGCTCGATACCCAATGTGGTCCCTTTTGGCGCCTTGATAGTCAATCCAATCCCGCCATATACATTGGTTGCTTTTAAGCAGCCAAACATGGTATACCAATAAGACGATCCATCAGCACGAGATGTTAAAGTGAGATGATTATTAGCCACAATGACTGAAGTGGCGGTGTCCGCTCTTTCTGCCACTGGTGACATACTACCATCATCGGAAGATGGTTGCAGCATGGCATTGTAGAATAAGAAAGTCAATCGAGATTGAGATGCAAAGTCATCAATCAACAAGTTCGTGCAAGCTCCTGCTGGAGCCGAAGCACTGACGCTGCTGGTCAGAAATTTTGAGGTAACACTTGGAGTGACAGTGCTCAGAGTGGTAGCTAAGGTATTTGAAACAGTCGAAGAGCTACTCGTCACAACAGCTCCCTTGGTGGTTATCGTACTTGAAGTCGGGATTGAGCTTGATGAACCTCCGGCACCACCGGCACAAACAAAGTTCGTCTGGCCGATCTCCCAAGCACCGTTGACACTGAAAGATTCCCACAGAAGCCCAGAAATTGCATCTAAATTGGCTCCAGAGAAAGCACTAAGTTGTACCGTGATAGTTTGAGTAGCTCCGGTCATTCCAGTGATAGTGGTGTAGTAGCTTTTATAAGTAGTCGCTGTACATGAACTCTTAGTCTGTAGCTCTAGATTGAACGAAGAGCCGGCAGGCCCTTTGACCGGAAATGTTATTGCATTGTACTGCTCCGTTTTCGCTTTCACGCAATCGAAAGTGGTGTAGAAATAACTGTTGGCCTTGCTGGTGAATGTGAGTTTCTTGTTTGCAGTATCGGCTTTTAGACTGGTAGTTGTACCGTCGTCTGCATCGTTTGTTAGAGCTGGCATCGCAAACTTGTAGGAGTGACTTACCACTTGTCCATTGTCCAAGAGCATTAGTATGGCTTGAAAACTTTGCATAATTATCAATTAATAGATTACTTGAGCAGGCAGCTCTCACAGTCGTAGCGCAAGATACCACTCCCCATACCAGATCCCCCAATGATAACTTCATTTTGCCGACGGACAAATTCAAATAAATGCGAGCTTCAAATTTAGATGACGAAGCAGAAAAAACAATAACTTCAATAAAGAAAGGACGCCGACAACGATTGAACGTGTCGAGCTATGGGATGCTCATATACAAATGAATATTAAAAGCTGAGAGAAAAAGTGGTATGATCTGAGGAAAATATGCAGCTACTTAACAGTTTTCCATTTTCACGGTTGCACGTCAAATCTGCACACATCCTTGGCCTGCATGCAAGCAATATATTCGCAAGTATCCAGAATTTATCGCTCGGGCCTGGTGATCTTTATATCATCATCGCATCTGATCTTTAGACCTGATAAATTACCCCAAGAAATCCAAGACACGAAAAGAAAGTCCAATCCACCTGCGTGAAGAAGAAAGAAAACCTTTCACCACTCAACATATCACGCACCAACCGAATTGAGTCTGGATTTCCAGGTACCACATCTTGGCATCTCGTATGGTGGCTTGCGACCCGCTTTTTGAATGCTGATCTTTTCGGGTCTTTGACGCCCCAACGGATCGATGCATAAGGCTAAGATTCTCGGCTGAGAGATGCGCGAATCATATGCGGAGAAAAAAGGATCACTCGGATTCGGTGAGTGAGGTTAAATTTAGACTTATTCCGACTTGGTTTCTCTTATGAGTCGGAGTACAATTTGTTCAAATACATATGGCGTTTCCCCTGAGTCAGTTTCATCGCTAATCGAAGTGATATCAACTGCCTAGAGATGATAACGGGAAGGTCTGTGAGTCTGAAACATGTTAAAAGCTTATCTTGCAGTAGCGTCAACGAGACCAAGGGTGACTTGGTAAGTAAAGTTTTGACAACCATTATCTAGGGATCGATGAAATAGGGATAATGACAGTTGAAGTCAAATGGAACTTCTACGACATCTCATGGATTAAAACACGAGTTACAACAAACCTCTCCGCTTGGAAGATACAGAAGCTGAATACACTGCTTAGAGATGGAGGGAGCCAATGATATCCTTTGTCACTGATAGGATAGCAGATCTACTTCAATGTTTTAGGGCTAGAATTTAGTCGAAGTCTAGAATCTAAGTCTAGAAACTTCACCGACCGTCTAGCTTTTAGCTAAATCTTAAGACGAGAAACCAACTCAGAAATTTCGCCAAACCCTTGCCAATTCATCCCATCTCCATTTCCATCTTCCCCAGCTTTTCCTGCATTGTTTCTGAAACCACCCTCCACAATTTATCTCATCATCAACGTTCTTCTCGGTTATTTGTTCTTCCGTCTGAATTTGTTTGTTGATACTGTCAGTGACAGTAAGTCTGACTTGGTCTAAATTTTGTATTCGTAGGCAATGGAACATAAATTTTGTGCATGCTATCCGGATTAATGCATCCTCATTTTTGCCCCATTCCTCTCCATTTACTCACCCAGCAACAAATATTTTCTTTTCTGCTCAATCTTCTTATTAATACTTTTCGCTACCATCATAATCTCTGGGCTGAGCCTCGCACATCTGTTTGGACCCTTTCCAAGTCAACATTTCACACCTCTTCTCTGCTTTTGTATCATTCTTGCAGCCCTTCTTCTACAATCGGCACATAAGTTGTTTTTGCCATTCTAACCTAGAATTGTATACTTGCTTGAATTCTTAATGTGATTGATAATTCCCGAGTGGTGGTAATTCTGGCGATCAGTGAACGTTTTGGAATGCAAACGTATTATTAAGAGAACTGCCGTATCATGATCGAGCCGAAGACTGAAGACTGGTTCCGAAAAGCCACAAGACGTGGACACAGAATTTGCATTTATTATTGTGTACGGCTCATTGCCAGAATGTGTTTGAAGAGACGAAATGGTACCCATGAACATTCCCCGCGATGACATGTGTAGTTCTTTCCATATTCACTTCTCCTGCGCATTACTTATATATCAAAACAAGACCTCCAACAATTGTACCAAGATTGGCATGCGTTTTTGGCGCAGTGGTCTTGGTGCTCAGTTAAGTATTGCCCCAAAAGTCCCAGCCTCGTTTAATGAATCTGCTTACTTTACACTGGTTTCGGTGTTATAAACCGCACGATGAAGAGTCCCGTCTTCTAGGAGCAATCCTAGAAGTCAGGAGGGCCTGTTTCAACTGTTCTCCGAAACCAATTTAGAACCACACATTTCAATTCTTGAGCCACAGCTCGAATTTGATTCGCGGTTTAATTCCGTGATCTCATGGTTCAATTCCATGATGATTGATAGTCTTCGGACATCAACAAACAATCTTTGGAAACCCACCATCTTCTTAAGAAGAACCTATTTTTTTTCAATTTCTTTTCTATGAACTATTTATTCATAGCGTATGCGCAACAAAGTAGAAGGACTGTAGCAAGAATGATTTTCTAGATTAATTTCGGGTGCGATTGTTATTTCTTTAAGCATCCACCACACTGGAATCGAGTTTGCTCTGTTTGCTTCATCTTTGTCCTCGGAACACTTGAGAGTGAATATCAAAAATTCATGGAGGAAGAAATTGAAGTCAAAAATCTCGCACATATACAAATTTTCAATCATTACTATGCATCTCACCCCCTCAGTGCAGGAAATTTCCAGTTGGCCCTTCCTGGATACATGTCACAAAGAGTAACACTTATTTGAATGTTTCGTTCTTACAGGTTTGACAGTGATTGATCAATCTCAAACAGTATTCAAGCATTATGTTGGAAAAAAGATGGTTCTAGATGAGGGTTTGATGTTCGCCTTCGTATAATAACGGATGTTTGAGTAACTTAGAGCATAGGAATACCAAACTCACCACTTTCCATCTGATGCCTAGTAAATCACTTCATGCAGTCGTGAGTTGAATTGAAATATTGTTAAAACCTGAGGAATTGTTAAGTAGTTTGCGACTAGGAGATGCTACGGAGGTCTCGATCAGTTTTGGAAGCGATTGTAGACTCTTTCAGTGTGACAATGCTTTATAATTCGTCAAATTTAATCAGTATCTATAAAATTTGATCGTTTTTCTACCCAAATAGATTAATAATATCTGTGATTCTAAACACAATTTGGCTCTAGATCAATTCAAAGTTTTGAAGTTCGAAGTTTATAAACTTGTTGAGCCTAATGCGGCCTTGACATTATTTTAGTATAGGTAGACCTCACAATGCTTAATTGAGTACACCTGATTATAGGAATTTATCTATAGGGCTACCTAGTCTCGTTCAAAATGACCGCGATCTCCGTACATTTTGTGGCTTGAGGTTCATGAAGAGCCCCACTTGCTTAACCACGTTATCTAAGATGATTTTTTTTTTCGGCAACGACATGTCATCGATACGCCTTGACATACACAAGCCTTTCGTTATGAAAAGGAGCCAGCATACACCTAGATAACGTTGAAATAGCTTTGACGGAGACGGGTTATCATGATACACTTTGGGAATTCTTGAATATCTATGAGCATTGTTATGCATCAAAAAAGTCGATGAGCACATGAATTTGACAAGAATGACTCTTCCCTGAGAAGTCAGCCTACATCAGCGATTGATATCTTCAATTTATGAAGGTATGTCTACTGCAAAATTGTTTTTGAGGGATGAATTGTGGAGCCAAGATCTCTGAGAGAAGCCGAAGTCTAGACCAGGTTATGATCTTTTAGAGATGTTGACACGCTGTCGGCAAGATAGTTTGAACATTCAGTAGCTTTCGTTCCGAAACTCCGGCAAACAAGTAAGCAAAGAGGAGTAGTCTTGATTCTCCGCACTTGTATCACAAATATCTCAGTCCCCGAGCCCTTTGTCCCGTTTGAATGATGCGATTTGTTTCTTTCCTAATGATTCCAATATCTTCCTGTTATGTCTAGCATTTTCATCATATACACAAGATTTTGTCCTTATGAGTGTGTACCTGGTAAGTACCACTCTCGATATTGACACTGTGCGCAAAGTGAGCTGTTTACACCGCTTCAAGAATGAATTCTACTGAGTGGCAGATGATCGAGGTGAAGCTTTTAGCAACTGTCGGTGAGAACGTTTATCCCCACGTACTGCATCAATCGCTAATAGTCAGTATTTCTTCAATTATATTATGCCGCGAAAAGTTCCGAGTACTGGATGCAGATATTAAGAATGTAGTATCTTGATGTCACATTTGTAAGCATGATGGAGAACAGAGATTCATTTCCTATCAAAACTTCCCGTTGGAAAAAGAATCAAATTATCACGGTCGTCCCTCCTGCATATTTACCCCCAACGCAGCCTACTCGTTTCCATCACTGTCGTAAATATCCGAGTCATATCCTACGTCTGCCATCTCCTCGTCATCATCATCCTCTATATCTTCTGATCCATCATCATCATCTTCCATGTCCTCTTCCTCTTCATCATCACTACCAAGAAGCTCCTCCCCAAGAACCTCTGAAGGCCAATTTCCGACTATATCAGCAGCGACAGACCCCCCAAGATTGTGACCGAGGCCAAGTGCAGCCAAAGGAACAGCGGTAAGATCTTGAAATACACTACGGCGAGACAAGCGTTCCTTCTCGTTCGGAACTCGACTTCGTCTGTGGTGGCGACCACCAGTACGTCGTGCTGCGACAGCAGCGATTCTAGCGGCGAAGGGTTGTTGAGATGCAGCATGCGAGCGAGAGGCATCATCGGCTAGTGGGGCTTGGTTGGTTGAGGGGGCAGCAGCACTAGCAGCAGAGGTCGATGCAGCAGAATCGGTGGCTGTAACTATTTAGAAAGTGCAGTTAGCATATTGAGTCAATTAAAAGGTTTGGCGAGTCATGAAGCGAGTATTAAAGAGAACCAGATGTACCTCGAGGACGAAACACCAGTTTTTGCTGCGCCGAGAAGTCAGCAGTCGCGGCACCGAATGATGGACCCGTTGCAGAAGAAGAAGAAGAGCCTTGAGCTATAGCTGCGGAATCGATTAGCACTTCCTTTATTGCCCAATTGAATTGCAAAGAACCGAACTCTAAAGCTTAGAAATGGCGCTGGGCTCACAACTACCAGCTCGAGCCGCACGTCTCTCTTCTCTGATAACCTTCTTTCCCTTTGCGCCTTTCGCAGCGCGAAGCTGCTGCTGTCGTTCTTTTCCGGGATAGCCCATGATTATATTGCGTTGTATTGTAAATTTTGTGTATAGTTCGGGGGTGTTGGATGGCAAAGTGGTGATTTTTGATGAGGTCGTAGGAGGTAAGAGTTCGTATCGCGGGAAAGAACGGGCGAGTTCGAGATATAGGACGCTGTACCGAAAAGAATTCACTAGATCAACAAATCTTGTCACGTCAATCAGAACGCGTGGATTAATTTTCACGCGCCTGGTAAACAATGTTTTTTGCTGAACTTTTGGGAATCTTTATCGAATTTTGTGATAATGAGATGATATCGGCTCAATTCTCAACAGAGGTTATGCAATTTGTTAATATGTCACGCTTTTTACTGGAGAACAAAAACTTTTAGAACCAAATGCACTACATCCAGAGTCTATTAATTATCTGGTAGTCATCCTCTCAAAAATTGGTCTTGAGAGAGTAATAAGGGTTCTCCCTTACCCATAGAAAGATTCTGATGGTGTGCTAAATGCTTCAGGGAAGAGAGCAAAAGTAACCAATACGCTGTGATGTAAGTAGAACCGAATAAGATGGATCTCAATCGAGAGTTGTAGTGATATATGTAAAAAGAAAATCTATTGATATAACTATGATATGGGTATGGCCTCAACAAACAAACTCATCTGAGAAATTGAACAGAAATAACTCTTCTAAGCTTGCATCTACAACTTCACAGACGATTCAAGTAGATTCCGCGTAACAAATGTGTAATCCAAATATTACACTCTCAAATGTCTGGCAAATAACAACTAGAGAATGGCTAACAGTACGAGGACAATGGCAACTATCGTCCTCGTCCTCTTAATAATCGCATTTCTTAACTCTCTCACAAGAACCTCGAATCCAATTGTCTGAGCACCCGTAATAACGCCGGCCTGCTTGTTGCTCTGTGCTTCATGCTTTAGTACCACGTCATCCCGTATAAACAAGCTCAAAGTCTAGAAGCCATTCTCAGACATCATAGTTTTACCCATAAATTACCAATTTTGCTAAAGCTAGAGTGTCGAATGCTCTCAATCTCGCTAAATGATTAATAAGAATATATGATAAGTAATTCGATCAATACGTCATGAAAAACTTAATTTCTCAACTCCCCATATGATTTATACATCTATCTGTCTTATTTTTTGAGTCTGAATATCATCAGATCTTCTAATTCGTACCTTCTTTCAAGATGTTACGAGGATGGATTAGACGGCTTAGTCATCTGTTCCCCAACTTGCATTCGCTTAGCCACTCAGGGCCAATGCTAATCGGACATCAATACAGCCGCTTGAATTTACGATGGTTCTTCTCTGTGGTATGTATAGCATAGGATTGGGATAGGATAACAGTTCTCGTGTCTAGTTTACAGTTGATATCAATAGTCCGGTCTTTTAATGTTAAATGAACGATCGAAGGTTTCATCGTGTAACATCAGCTGGCTCTTAAAATTGTTTCTCCCGTTGAGCATCTATAATTTCTTCAATCTAGTTAGTCTCCTATAGTTTATATTATTTAGTCACATCTAATTCATATTACCTTGAATAACCGAGTTATATCATTTTTAGAATATAATAAAATTAATTAGAAAAGCAAAAATGAAAATCCTATGTTTTTATAATAATATTTAGATTATATTAAAGTATATAGTTATAATTATTTTTCTATTGAATATATATTCTAGTGATAATATATTTATTTCAAAAATCACAAGCACATTCGATCTAATTGAGTTAGCAATTTTACTGATCAGAGGGTCGAGGCAAAGTGAGTCCGGGGATTATAGCATGCTCCGAACGCGAGTGTTTGAACTCCTACAATTCCTTGTAATTGAAGAACCAGCTTCTGCGTGTAAACGTGACAACTGCTGTTGGTTATCTGGAGATCTAAGAGTGAAAATTCTTTTGCATTTTGTTTCTTTGATTCTTTTTTCTCTGGTTAGAATAACCGCGCACCAGCTATTGTGTTGCAATTTGAATTGCACGTAGCTTTTTCTGGCAAGTAACTTTGACAAAAACATATATTCCATTACAAAGATGACCCCAGATTTTTTTGCATGCATTACTCTAGTCTAAAGAAAGTGCTGGAGGTATAAGGATCGAGCGGACCTTTTAATAACTGGATTTCATAACGATAACAACGACATCATATCATATAGGTATACATTAGCGTCATTTGCACATACTTGTGACCCAAGACAAACCATAGAAGGGGAAATTACAACAGTGCATGACTATTTCAAGGTAAAGATGGAGACTCAAGTTACGAATCCATCATTGTAGGAAGAAACCCTTCCGCTAGGGCGAAGGAAGAATCTTATGAAAACGTTTAACTGATGTTCAACTTGAGGTAGTCAGAAATGGATGGATGTGATGCTTAGTGATGCGAAAGTCACTTCCTCGTCACCATTATTTCATGCCCTTCGATAACTTCCTAACAGGATTTCATATTTGACTTGCTAATTAGATTTTTGCAGGTGGTAGTAAGAAGAAGAGTGTGCCTACATCAATTGCCCTTTACAATTCCCCACACGAGTGAATTTTCAACTATACTTGACTTAATCGGATTCTCACTATACGCAACACATGCGATCAAGATTTCCCCCTCTAAATATCATCTCTCCCCATCTTCTTCACAGGACATGTTTGATTTATTAATCTTGAGTCTGGATGCTATTTCTCAATTTATAAGTCGTCCATGACGTGAACCTCTAAAGGATACCTTCGATTGACTTTAGAAGATACTCTATTATACTAATTATACCTACGTAGGTAGTTACAATCCACTAACCAGGATTGAGTTTAATGCCCTTGCTTTTTCTCCAACGCTAAACCACATATCGGCTATTGTCTCTTCAAAATAGAAATGTTATTAAATTGATCTCGGAATCTTGAAATTAGTCAATATTTTATATATTATATTTTTAATGTATATGCATAAAGAAGAAAGTATCAGAAAGCTTTATAATAATCATATAATTCATCGATAAGTGATTAATCTTTTCCGCTGGTTTTATTCATGGCTAATATACAAGCGGGTCAATAATGAGACTTTTGAGCTTTAAGATTAGATTCATATATGATTCTATAAGACTCTTACGATATCTACTTTAGTACTACACCATCTCGTATAGAGAAACTTAGACCCTATTACAGGTTTGAGAAGATAGATGACGTAGTACCTACGATAATAGACCCGAATTGTCAATGTTGTACTCTATCTAAAGAGCCAGCTGTGTGTAGGAATAAACGATCCTGATACACTTGAGGCTAGCCCCCTCCCCCCTACTTAGTATAATACTATAGTAGCCTATTGACTCAAGATCATGGCCTAGATTGCTGTCGCTTAAGTCTTTGATTCTAAATACTTGAGACATACCTATTTAGTCTCCTGTAATTTACATCTAGCTCATAATATCTTGAATAACAGAGTTCCATCATCAATAGACAATGATGAATTAAAATAGAGAAGCAAGATATATAAATCCAGTCTGCATAATGACATTTAGAAGGGTGATGAGCCTCTAGCTGTGATCGCTTTTCCGCTGAATATATATCCCAGCGATTGTATAATGACATCAAAAATCGCAAGCGCACTCGATCTGGCCGATTTAATAGCTTGAACGATTTGAGGGTCGAATATTAGCCAATACTCCTAACGTGAGGGTTTGAACCCCCCCAATTTCTAAAATTGATAATCCACTTTAACATTGATTAAAAGTGACAAACGCTACTGGTGCCTTGGAGAAATAAGAGTGAAAACTTTTTGTAGATTTGATTGTTGAAGAACCTAATTTCTTTCTAGATAATTTTTTGTTAAGGGCTAACTAATAATGTCGTTACTTCTATTATCGCGATCACCAGTACGTTGGTGTACATCTAGACTTTTGGATAACCATTCTCCTTCGCAATAATATCATTGAATTGACTTTTGTTCAAGTTGCTCGCGTTATCATTGAACCAACCACAGAAAAAAAGGGAGCAAAGTCCGAACCTATTTGATGTCATAATATCAATAAGAAAACACCTCACCCGAGAATATAAGCTCATTTCGCGGATACATAGTTCTGGATCATGATGTACCATATCAGAAATTCTTACAATTGCCTTTCTTCTTCACAGTTCTTGTGAGCGTAATGTTTCTCAATTCCAAAGTGGATCGAAGGTAAATTCCCCTGCCGGAGTTTCAAGAAAAATCCAGGTAAAGCGGTCGGAAAGAAGAGGCTGAAATGCTGGCAGGTGTTGTCATTCTACCGACTCCCAAGTATTGATATCCTGCGCGTAGGCAAATGAGTATCCTGCTTTCTCAACGTCCTAATAAGTATTTCTTCCGACTTTGTCCAATTATTTCACGAGTTGGCATTGAGTGGGTCTATGCCGTTTCGCCGTCGGCTAGTCCCCGCTGAAGTGAATGTCTTACTATCTATATATCTAATTTAACAATCGTTCTGTCACCCGCGTGTAAGGAGCTTCAAGCAAGAGCTTCCTGTTCTCTAGATTTAGTCTCCCTCCTCGCTCTGCGTCTCAATGACGTCATTGATCTAAGAACCATATTTTGGTATACTATTCCTCATTTCTAAGAGTCAAGATGAAATTGAAGCAGTGGTCGTTTACCATAAGAAAATTTATGATGCAATTATGGAGCCTCAGAGTTTTTAAAGGGTGTTATTGACCTCAGTATCAGGGGTTGGCATTACAGTTGTGGTTTAATAAACTATGTTCGGCTGCATTTTTGATGTGTAAATGCAAGATGAAATCAACTAAATGCATCCACGGAGGTGTAGATTTAAGCGCGTGGAGCCTCTCAGCTCTGATCCTCGCTTTGCATAATGTGAAGATTAATTATGAATTAATGCCTGCCCTTTGTGCTGGGACCTGGTGCATATCTCCTCCCAATCCTCCCATCCCTACTTACGCTAAGTGGTAACGTTTTCTTGCTCCAGATTCACATCCACCTTTGATTTAACTTTCATAAGCTTCTCGCTTCGTTGCTTGATTGTGCTTTCTCTTTTCTT